AGCGGTCTACTACTCCATGTGGGTTAGCTCCCTGGCTGGAGATTGAACTTGTGCTGCAGTGGCTGCAGATAGCGTCATAGTGCTACATCTTAACCCCTTACACCACCAGGGAGGCCCCCTTGACTATTTCTTGTTGAAGAAAAATTACCTAACCTTTTGCATTAGAAAATACTTAGCAATGCCCATTGCGCCATTTACAAACCAGATGCTAGAAATGTTACTAAGGTGCTTGCTCAGATTCCAAATAGTTTATAAAACAGGCTTAATATTTTTTAAAAACATTGTTATATTAATGTAGATTCACAATTTTAATTGATAATTGAATCTAGAATAAAAATATAAATTTTCTCCAACCCTGTTTCTACTCCTCTCTAGTCATTATGAATAGTTGATATATCCTCCAAACCTTTTCCTTTGCATATGCACACAGATAATAGCGCACTCACTGTCTTTGTAAGATAAATGGATTTATGCTTTAAGTATTTTTCTGTAGCACCATTTTTTTAATATAAAAAATAAATATTTACAATCTTTCCACTTTTACAGAGATCCACCATACTTTTTACCTAGTTTTTGATGAAATGAGTAATTAGAATGTTAAAGATGGTGAGAATCCAGAGTCCAAGATCATATAAACAAACTTTAAGGGAGAACAATTTGATTTCTAGAAACTGTATCATATTGTGTTAATCTATGGTGGTTTTTTTTTTTAAAGATTTATTTATTTATGGGGTACAAGCCAGAGGTGGGGGGTGGTGGTGAGAGGATTCACCAGAGACAGAGTGGGGAACAGAACAGGTAGTTTGGCTGAAATACACTGCTGAGGGAAGCAGCGGGCAAAGCAGGAGAGGTCTGCCTCGCCATGTGAATTTCTCCCTGGCCAGCCGGGGATTGAACTCATGCTGCAGAGGCTGCAGATTGCTTCCAGGTGCAGTGTTTAACCCCTTGCGCCACCAGGGAGGCCCAATCTATGGTGTTTTGAAGGAATTATTAGAGACTTTTGGCAGATGTAGTTTAGGTTTTCAAAAAGACAATGAATTTCCAGACCAAGAATATTTAAACCTTCAACTTGCTTTGTTTTTAAGAGAAAAATATTTGCCTCACATAGGGAAAATGTATAGTTATAAATAAACAATATTAATAAATAGATGTTTTTGTGAAAAAGCATTTGAATCTTGGTCACCCTTCAGTTATTAGTGTTACCTAAGAGTTTCAGAAATGGAAGATGGAGAAAGAAGGGTGTGTTAAACATTTCCCACTATGCATGTCTGGAATATTTGGTATATTAAATATTTGAGATGATTAGAATGGATTTCAGGAAAATTTCATAGAGTTGTGTAAATAGAAAAATAGTTTAAGAGATAAGCTACTTATTGATAAGTTTAAGGACATGATTCAAGTGGTAACTTCAAAACCATAGTACCTCTTAAACAAGAGACTTAAAAGAAATGATTTTTAACTCAAAACAAGACAAAACCGACCCCTCAAATTCTCATTTTAATTTAGTAGATAATACAGAGAGGGATCTTGAGAACCTGAGAGGTTGTATGAGCCAAAGATACGTACAAATATGCTAACACCTAGTAAATACATGATGTGTTTTTCTTCTATGATCTTTCTCTCTTTCCAGGTCAGCGGTAGTCCTGAACTTCTGAAAGCTATAGAACAGGAGGTGAGAATGGTGTTTGAAAGCATTTTGAAAAGAATAAACAAAAGTGATTAATTTTTGGTTACTTCTTCAACTCCTATTCTCAAGATACCAAGTGCTCAGCTTGGAAGTCTTGATTTATTCACTGACATTCAAAAGAAAATGATTTTTCCTATAATAGTTGTAAGGACTTTACTGTAACCTATGATTTATTCTTATCCTAAAGTCAGCATTTTGAAATAAAGGAGAAAAAAATATAGGTAAAGCCCATAGGAATCCAGCCAATTTTCATTTCTCTAGCTCTGGATAAGAAAATTAGTATATTATGTACAAATACCTTCCTCAGGGAAGAATTATCATAACTTGATATATCCTAGAGACAGCCTCGTGTGTCATTTTACTGTGGGCTACCTCTCTAGTTGAACAGATTTAGATTTCTTCAGACCCAGTCAAGATACCATTCAGCTTCATTCAGCAAACATCTATTAAGAGCCTGCTTCATGTAGGCTTAATATGTGGGCACTTCGTATTATAAAGACAAAACTTTCTCCTGCCCGGTAGGTCAGGGTTAAGTCAAGTCCATGGATGCCCCTCTGCAGGTCTTTGACAGTGAAACAGTATCCTCTTCTTTCAGAACTATCCTTAGAGTTAAGGACATTTATTCCTTCCCTTTGATAATATGAATTTTCTTGAAGCTACAGTACATTCTACATCTAGGTTTATTTCATCTGACTGTTGGTACAGTTTTGTTTCTCACTGTGTCTTTGGGTCATTGACGACTCTAAGAATCAAATAAAGTTATGAAATGCTCCCTTTAGAAAAATACATGCACTAAATAAAGAACTTTGTGATTCTGTTATGCCATAGAGTTGTAAATTAAAAGACTTTTCATTACCTTGCTAGTGAGTGTGGTGTGGTAAAACATAAATGAAGCATGTTGAATATACAATGTTGAAAACCAATGTTACCTCAATAAACAAAACCAAAAAAAACACTGCTTTAGATTTTCAACTTTTACTTAGGGAGAAAGAAATGTAAACACGCAAATAAAAGTGTGAAGCAATGAGTGTTATAATGGGGGATTCATGAGGCTAGTATGGGTTGTTTACATATTTTGGCCATTGGGAATGGTGCTGCTATGGATGTGGGTATGTGTTTTTGGATTGCTGATCCTATGGCAGTTTTATTTTTAATGTTATGAGGGAACTCCTTACTGTTTTCCATAGCAGTTTCCAATTACAGTCCTATCAGCATTGTACAACAATTCCAATTCAACATTCTCATTAACACTTGTTTTCTTTTTATTTAGTAGCCATTCTAATGGGTGTGAGGTGATAGCTCATTGTCATTTCTTTGATAATTGGTGATGCTGAACATCTTTTCATAATTGTTGCCCACTTAGCACAACTTTTTTTTATTTTTATATTCCCCATACAATTGCACCCCCCTTATTTTGGCCCCAACTTAGCACAATTTAAACATGCACAGTAGTGGGCCTCCTTGGTGGCACAGCGGTTGAGCACTGGGTTGCGAAGCTGCCCGCAGCCTCTTTAGCGCCGGTTCACTCCCGGGCTGCTCCCCGGCTGCTCCCCGGCTGCTCCCAGGCCACCAGAGGAGGGTCCCACATGGCGCGCAGACCTCTCCTGCCTCCTGCTGCTCCCCTCAGCAGTGTGCTTCGGTCCTTCTGCCTGCTCTGCTCCCTGCTCTGGCTCTGGTGAATTCTCTCACCCTCCCGCGCTTCTGACTGTACCCAGTGCTTGTATGAATAAATAAATAAATTTAAAAAAATAAATAAATAAGCATGCACAGTAGTGCCCTTCTTTTATAGCTAAAGTACTGGAATTCCAAATCAGTCCCTGCTTTTTTTTTTTTTTTGCCTTTTTTTAAAGATTTATTTATTTATACAAGAACTGGGGTACAGGTCAGAGGCGTGGGAGGGTAAGAGAATTCACCAGAGACAGAGTGGGGAGCAGAACAGGCAGATCTACTGAAATACTCTGCTGAGAGGAGCAGCAGGCGAGGCAGGAGACATCTGCTGCGCCATGTGGGTTTCCAGATCCACAAATGAATTTGGAAAGGCTGGCTTTGCCAGATTGTTTACACTGTGTACTCTATTATCAAGTAATTTTTTTTAAGGTAAAAATAACCAAACTTTGGAGTGGGGTGGGGTGATAAGGTAAAAGAGGAAGTAATTTCTTTACTTTTATTTAAGCAGTAAATAATAAGTATAATGTTGACCTCAAATTATTTATTTCTCAAATAGCTACAAAGGCATATCATTTTCTCAGTGTAGATGAACCTAGGACTTTCTGAATCCACAGTCACAATGGGTTTATTTATTTATTTATTTATTTTTAATTAAGGGTTTTCTTTTTTTTTTTAAGATTTATTTATTTATGCATACAAGAACAGGGGCACAGGCCAGAGGTGTGGATGGTGAGAGGATTCACCAGAGACAAAGCGGGGAGCAGAACAGGCAGATTGACTGAAATACACTGCTGAGGGGAGCAGCGGGCGAGGCAGGAGAGGTCTGCTGCGCCATGTGGGTTGCTCCCTGGCCAGCCGGGGATCGAACTCGTGCCGCAGAGGCTGCGGTTTGCTTCATAGGTTGTGTCTTAACCCCTTGCACCACCAGGGAGGCCCCCACAATGGGTTTAAGTGCTGTTCATCAACTCTTTTCATTAGGAACCTGGACTGTTTACTTTATATTGATTTTTAAAATAATTTTATTATTATTATTTTTTAAAGATTTGCATATGCATACAAGAGCTGGGTGTGGGGCGGGAGGTGAGAGGATTCACCAGAGACCGAGTGGGGTACAGAACAGGCGGATCTGCTGATATATACTGCTGAGGGGAACAGATGGGTTTAGAATCTGGTTTCTTACCAGGTGCCTCAGATGATCTTGATATAGGATGTTTTAAGAATACTTTGCAAAACTGTCCTGAGGTTAAAAATCTTGTTACTCCACTGTATTGTGTTATATTTCAGAATAACAATACAAGTGCTAAGTTTTTGAAATAGATATTATCAAATGATTGTACAATATTACAACTGTTGTTAAAACTTTGATATTGATGCTATGTATAATTTTATTGCTAATACTCCAGTCTACTGTGTTTCCAAAATTTTTTGTTTAGAATACTCTCCTGGATGTCTGGATCATGTGTTTTATTTAAATATGTCCTAATTGTTTGAAAATAGTCTGCAGAGATGATTTATTGCTTTTATTTGGTAAACAGTGACTATTACTGTTTAACAGAATTTTCTCTTGGAAAGTTTGTTTCTTAAACCATTTTTATGGCTTAAAATAAAATACTCATTTAAAAATTTCTCTAATTTTTATTTGCAGGATGAGCTTTCTGATGTTAGCCAAGGAGGATCAAAAGCTACCACTCCAGCATCATTAGCTACTTCGGATGTGGCAGCAATTTCTGCTGATACTCCCTTAAAGGAAGATAATGAAGGATTTGTGAAGGTTGCAGATACACCAAATAAGTCAGAGATAAGCAAGCATATTGAAGTACAGGTAGCCCAAGAAACTAGAAATGTGTCAACAGGTGAGTGACCTTTGTTCTTTACTCACTGGCAAGATATTCAGTAAATTCAGATGATGTGAAAATGAGAAAATAGGCCTTAGGATGTTGCTGCTCTAAAGTGATAAGATAGGTAAATATTCTTTATACTCAATTGTAAAAAACTTAAAAGAGGTGATTCAGGTTTTGGAGAGAAGAATATTGTGGTCTGCAGAGTTGGAGAATTTGAAAGGTGGAAGAACAGTCTGTCTCTGCCTTAGCTCATTAGCCTTTGTCTTTAGTGTCTATATTCTACACTTTAGGTAGGAATGAAAACAGGGAGTAATGGCCTGGGATATACTTGCCTGTGTCCCAAGAATCACAAACAAAAACTCTCTTTGGTTGTTTATTAGTTTCTGATATTGACTGTTAATTGTAATTATGATATATTGTCTGACCCTGTTTCCTAGAATCTGCTTTTAAAAAGTTTTTATTATCAAATGATATATAATCATAGTAGCAGCAGACTTGCATGTTAAGAGCAGTGTGTGATACATGCATTATTGATGTCATCTTGTCCTTTTCTAAGGCTCTGCTGAAAATGAAGAGAAGTCAGAAGTTCAAGCAATCATTGAATCCACTCCTGAGTTGGATATGGACAAAGATCTCAGTGGATATAAAGGCTCAAGGTACTGTAAGTGACAAACTAAGATATCTTGTCCTTCCTTTTCCTCTCTCCCAGAATCATACTGTTGTTCTCACGTCTTTTATCAGACACATGCATTCAATATTTTGCAGAAAAAATGTTGGTGTTATATTCCAATTTCTGTTTTTGAAACTGAACATTGTACATGGTTTAAGCATTCTGTGAAATAATAGCTTTGCAACATTAGGGATTAGGAGCATATAAAAGGATGGGGGGGAAGAAGACAGCTAACGGGGTATTCCATCCTTTCTAGAACCTGAAGAAGCATAGAGGGAGTTGGGGAAGTAACAATTGGAATAAACTTTATTCTTTTCCTAGATCAGGAAGAAGAGAATGTACTCCCTCAGAGCTGTAATGATCTCATTGGAAGAAATTAGTCTCATTTTACAAGGAAAGGAAGTTTAGGGGTGAAAGAAAACAGTTTTGTGTCATCTTAGTCAAGGTCATCTGAAATGTATTGGTGCTCAAGTATGTCAGACAGGAGCTACTGTCTTTAATTCAAGTTTTGCCACTATAAAAATGCTTGTGACGGTGTTTTTGTAGGACATTTTTTGGACACTGAATCATTGGGCCAATGGCATTTTAATTTTGAATATTATTACATACTGTCAACCTGTGCTTGAGAAAAATAAAATATCTATATAAAACATTGTAGTTAAGATCATGGACTCTGATGCTGATGGCTACATTTGAATCCGGCCTCTTTTACTTGTTTGTGGATGATCCAGGCAAACTTCTTAACCTCTTTAGTTTCCTTATCTGTAAAATTGGGGTAATAGCAGCCCCTTCTTTGTATTGAATCTTTGTGAAGATTGAATACAGTAATCTATATAAAGCATTTAGACTAGTGGCTGATAGGAAGCAGCATAGTGGCCTATGTTAACTGCCATTTATTGTTTGTTTGCTGGAATCTACTGCAAAGACATTCTACATTTTCTTCATTCGTTATTTTTGTGAAGTTTATTGACAATTTCTTAGGAAAACTAGAAATATTTTCAAAAAATTAAATTTTATATTAAGTGTAAATTTCAGGTTAAAAAATATACTTAATAGTCTCTTGTATTCATTTTACATTGTCAAAAAAATCTTTGTGATATCCGCTGATTTGATTTTATTGTTTTTGTTGCATAGCACCCCCACCAAAGGCATAGAGAACAAAGCTTTTGATCGTAACACAGAATCTCTTTTTGAGGAACTGTCTTCAGCTGGCTCAGGCCTAATTGGAGATGTGGATGAAGGAGCAGATTTACTAGGTATGCTAGCTTACCTGAGAAGTGTCATACCATCTTAAAAATAGGTAGATTATGCCTTCTAAAAATAGGTAGATTATAAAGCATGATTTAACTGAACAGTTCTTTAAAATGTCTCTGACTGCCTAGTGGTACAAAGTTATTGTACTTCTAGGTAATTAATAGGAACTTATTCTTGAGATCATGAAAAATTTAAATGAAGATATATTTGCATATGTATAGACCTAAAGTGAATTGCATTTAAATTTGTATTTTAAATTCATATAACACAATTTATTACCCCTGCTATATTGCAAGAATAGTGTGGCATATAAGGAACAGTGTGATATATATGGGGGGGGTGTATGTGTACACACAGAATGATGAATAGTTAGTTCATGGCTTAAATGCATTTCTCTAAATTCTGTTGACCTTAAGTAAGGAAGTATTGACTTTTCTGGGATTTCACAGAGTATTCTGTTTTATCTTTATTGGGAATGTGATCACTTAAAAGTTTCAATTGTGGGGCCTCCGCGGTGGCGCAGCAGTTGAGCGCTGGGTTGCAAAGTTGCCTGCAGCCTCTGCAGTGCCGGTTCCATCCCCAGCCACCAGGTGAGGGTCCCACATGGTGCTCAGACCTCTCCTGCCACCCACTGCTCCCCTCAGCAGTGTATTTCGTCAGTCTGCCTGCTCTCCTCTCCGCTCTGACTCTGGTGAATTCTCTCACTTCCCGTGCTTCTGACTGTACCCAGTGCTTGTATAAAAAAATAAAGAACGAAAGAAAGAAAAGAATTTGGAAAAAAAAAGTTTCAATTGTGGAGGAATACCTGGTTTGAAAAGAATACTACACTTGGCTCTGGGGACTTTTGCCAAATAGCTTAACTTTCCTGGGCCCTATTTCTTTGTGTATAAAATGAAGGAACTGGACTTCAGTCCAGGCTAACTGCCATAGGCCAAATTCAGCTCACTTCCAGTGTATGTAAATAAAGTATGTGTGGAACAAAGCCACACCCACTGTTTTTTTACTTATTGCCCGTGATTTTGCACCATAGCAGTAGAGTTAAGAGTTTGCAAAGAGTTTAGAAGTTTGTAAAGAGTTTAGAAGGTATGTAATACTTAGAAATAACTATGGTATCTTAAATCATTATTTTCCAAAAGCTTCCATTCTCTAAGACAAAATTAAGCATAACAAATAGATTAAAAACAAAATGAAAATATTCTGGTTTCCATTCCATGTTGAAAATAAAAAACGGACTTTAAACTACTGTCTTTCCCTTTGCAATTTTTCAGTATATTTATCTCTAGAATGTTCCAAATTAGAAGATATATTACCCTTTGCATCATGACTTATGCCTATATGAATACTTTTTGGTGAAAATAATAAATGTGATTTACATAGCAAATATTTGCTCCTCAGCTTCTCTTCCATACAATTCAGTGTGGCAACTGACATTCACTAAATGCAATATTGTTAAGCTCAAAAAATTAGTTCCCCAAGTTCTTTAATTGACCTTGGATTGATAAATAGTACATAGTCCATTTCTGTAACTCATTCATTTTTCTAATTACAATTACAAAACTCTCCTCTTTGAGGATATACATTTTTGCAGTCATTATGCATGTACTCAGTACTTCTGATTTTATCATGATTGGTGTCTCATCCCTTGACTTTTACTATTTTCATTGATTCTTTTCTCCCTTCACTTTAGTCACTTATCCCCATGGTCATATTATAGAAATTGGAAATCATACTTTGGGATTTTCTTTTGATTATCTTAGATATTTTAAATATCACTATCCTTGCTGCTTCTGATTATTATTTAAACACGTTCAGGTCTTTTCCATTTAAAAGTAAAAATACTCAACAAGCAACTATAGACCAGAGACACACTACAGTAGGGGGGCAGGGAGAGGAGAAGAGGGATTAGGGTCAGAAAAAGGAGGTGGGGATTGTATGGGGGAATATAACCAAAATGAAATTGCATACATTATGCAAAAATGAAAAATGATGTAAGAATTATATAAAATAAAATAATTTATTTAAAAAACGTAAAAATACTGTCCTCCTCTGGCTCTATATCTTTAGTGCCGTGTTACCCTATCACCCCTTGTCCAGCTAATAAACTGTTATGTATCAGTATTTATCAATGCGGTATTTGTTATGTGCCTGGCACTATCCTAGATACATCAGTGATCAAACAGACTTCTTGAAGGTGTGGGCAGCATTTCTCCAGTTTCATTTGCACCTCATCCCATTGTAGTGTCACATTCTCCCTCATACTCTCCTGACCCGAAACAACCTTCTTGTTTTCTGTTTTCAGCTGTCTATTCTTAGTTATTTTATATGTCTTCTCAGATAGTGTTTATCTTTAAAACTATTCCCTAGGTTTCTGTGATAACAGACTTTTCCTGCATCGTTTTCTGCCTCTGGCTATTCCTTTTTAGTCTTTGCAGAATCCTCTTCTGCCCATCTTTCAGATATCAGTGATCCTGTTCCAGCTCTGCTTCTTTGTTTGGGAAATCTTATTGCTGTTGTTTTTTTCTGGGTTTTCATGGCTAAAAACTTTCATTGCTCCAAAGTTTTTCCTTTTTTATCTCCACCCAAGATCTTTTTCTTTAGTTCCAGACTATTTCAGACAGCCCATTAGAAACCTCTAAGATGTTTTGTATGGCTTTACATTTGATTTACCTAAAGCTTAGCTCACCATCTTTATTGTTCTGTCCCATTTAGGCTGTTCTTACACCAACACTTACCATCTCAATGAAAGAATTACTTCACCGTCACCTCAATTCTCCATCCTAGATCTCCACCACTTCTCTTATAACCAATCACCAAGGCTTTTTGCTCTCCTTAAAAAAAAACAAAAAACAAACAGCAATATAATTCTTCTTGCCTTTGTTTAATAGAGGCAACATATCCTCTGGGAACTCTGCCTTGATCCCCTAATTAAAGCTTAGTTGTCCCTGAAATGCATTCCCGTGGCATTGCATTTTATTTGTTATGCCACTCTTCTTCCTTTACTTTTTTAATGTACCTATCTTCCTGGATAGACTATAAACTCAATACGCCCAAGACAACTATGTTTTTGGCTCATTATTGTATCTTTAGCATATAGCTCAGCAACTAAATGAATGAATTGCTAAATACTTCTAACAATTTCATTTCACCTCTGCATCTATATTCTTTACCTTTTGGAGTTAAAACTCCTTTACAGGAGATTTTGTAAGAAAGCAGTATACTATTGGAGAAATGCACATACTGAACTAGCTAAAATTGTGCATACTTTCTTAAGTGATTGACACTTAAGGAATTGACACATCGTTTGGAAGCCCATCTATGGACCAAGCTTGAAAATTGATGGTAAAATCCAAATGAAACATCTATAATATTAAAAATAACCAAGCCTTTTTTGTTGTTGTTTTAATAGGTAAAATTCCAAGTAAGTTAGATCTAAATTTATATTCAGTCTTGAAAAAAATGGGAGCATTTCATGTTATATTTTTCTTATAGCGATGAGTTATTTTTATTGATATATTTCATAGTGAAAATTTTAGGTAATTCTATTGCTCATGTATTACTTTATATTAGATTTTAAGAGAACTCTTTGAAAATATGTAAACTTTAAAAACTACATATTTCCAAGTATTTTCTTATTATAATGTTTACACTTTATGCATAGTTAATGGTTTCTCTACATCTTTTTGACATTTTGTTTCCTCTCATTTTGAAGTAAATGAGTGTAGATCTCACTTTCTGAAAATCAATGTAATTGAGATTCTCATTCATTTTTCTCTTGGGCTGCTTACCCAGGGGAATATTCTGGTGTGTATGCTTTTAAATACTTTAATATTGCTGCTTTTTGAGCTAGGTGTTCTTGGCTGCTATTTTCATTTAATGCTTTCTCATTTTTTTCCTGCTCAACTATTTTTTTTTTTGCCCTGCGTATACTTTCTGCTTTTATACTTTCCCTATATGCTTGAGAGTTTATGGCAAACATAAAGTTTACCTTAACTTTTTTCAACCAGTCTAAATCCTATTTCTTTTGATTCTATAGCTTTATTGAAAAGTCAACATTAGTGTTTAAAGCAAATATTGGCACATGTCTTGCCAAAATTCATTTTGGAAGTAGAATTTGGAAATTTTAAATTTTCTTTAAAAAATTCTTTATTCTCAGGTTTTAGAGACTATATAGATAGATAATTAAATAAGCTAGTGTTTCTGAAAGGTATAAGTACCCTGATCTTTGAGAATATTTGATATAATTATTATATGAATAAAGTATGAAAGATGTGAGGATTGAGTTTTTAGCATTCATAGGTTGGTTTTTTAAGTAATTTTAAAATAGTATTTTTTTTTTTAAAAAGGAACATGCTAACTCCTTTGTCATGTGTAATTTTCCTTAGAAATAGTTCCTTCTGTAGCGTAGCGATGAGTTACTTCTTCCATTATGTGTGATTTTTCCAACACTAGATCATTTCTTGGGATGAGTAAGCAGTGGGGTTTTGTTTGTTTTGCCTTTTTAGTTTTTTTAATTTCTTGAGATATATCCTCTAGTATAGTGGTTCACTTTTTTCACTTTCTTATGAGTAGAAAATTAAATATCTTTCTTCTTCCTAAAGATCACAACATTGGCTCTTACATTAGCTCTGTCTACCTGACAGTACTCATTAAATTAAATGTGAGCTGTATAGTGACCACTGAACATTATCATTCCAAAGGTGGCACTTTGAAGGAAACTTTATATTATAGATTTTGGGTTTTCAATCTATAATTATATTCAGTTTTATTGTTAAGAAAAAAATTGATAAAACATTTAGGTATAACATATCAGAGAACATCCTTGTGAATGATGGAACTCGTTTTAATTTCTGTCTTTTGTACATCATTATGCATTAAACCATGACATTGTGATTTCAGATGTTTTTCATATCATGCATAAAACTTTATAGATTAATAATCTATTTTCATGCTGTTTCTTACATAAACATTTCTTGTTCTTTGTTTTTGCTTTACATGGAATGCATGGGCTTTAAGACCATAATTTCTTTGGTAAGGTTTCATCTGCACTGGGGTTATTTCTTTTTTAGGCCTTGTTTCTGCTGTTCTCTGTTAGTAAGACCTAATTTTTAGGCAAAAGACTATACTACCAGCTGTGGTTTGGAAACAATTTCTGGCCCATATTAATGCTTTCCTTTTTCCCCTTTAATACTACATTTTAGAATATTTAACAGTAAAGTCTTGGTCCTTTTGAAATGTTATCTATGAGAAATTCTAGATTATAAAGGGTTGCCTGACAAAAATATTTTGTTCTGTTTTGTGATGGATAATTATAATTTTATAATCTATATAATTTAATAGATCAAATGAAATTATAGACAAAATAAGATTGCTAAAGGAGGATAAAATTTATAAAATAAAATTTATGACTATAGCTTATAAGTTTACATAATTTGATTATTTTCAAAGTTTTTATCCTTTTTCTTTTGATAGGAATGGGTCGTGAAGTTGAAAATCTTATATTAGAAAATACACAACTGTTGGAAACCAAGTAAGTATATACAAGATGTTAACAGAGAGCAAAAGATGCTGTATTTTCTTCTCTTTACTTCAGCTACACTTCTTCATCATAACACAGCATTAATGCAATCTTGCTATCCCATTTCATTTCCCTTCTCTGCATGTTGGTGTGTGTGAACACATACACAGACAGGTAATGGGACCTAATTTCACTGATGAACATGTTTATTGTTTTTTCCCCAGAAACAGATTTTCATCTCCTTTGCACTGTAATATCCATGCTTTCTCTTTAATCTTCTCTTTGTGTTCTTTGCCTTTTTTGCTCCCTCCCCTGGAATTTATTATTTCTTTTCCTAGGATTTTTATTTCTGCTAAGTATTTTGATCTAATCCCAGCTTTCCTCTTCAGAGGTTTCCTACTAATTGCAGGTTCTCTGGTGCAATTTGTAGGATCTTAAGCCCTTATGAACATTGGAATCTTGTTCAGTGAGACAGGCCCTGGGTTATGTAAATAAGCAGATTGGATTCCTTTGTCAATTTGCTGTGTCACAGCACCTTTGGAGCATCTGTATATACACAAAATAGAATGCAGCTGTAGCGAGGTCCTGTACCCACTATACCCAAAAGGAGCTAGCTGGTAGATTTTTATTTCAGTTTCTTTCTAGTTTGGAGTTATTTCTCAATTACTAAAAGTCAGGCCTCCCTGGTGGTGCAATGGGTTAAGACGCAGCCTATGAAGCTATCCACAACCACTGCAGCACGAGTTCAATCCCCAGCCGGGGAGCAGCAGACCGCTCCTGACTCACCTGCTGCTCCCCTCAGCAGTGTATTTCAGTCAATCTGCCTATTCTGTTCCCCACTCTGGCTCTGGTGAGTCTCTGGCCTGTGCCCCAGTTCTTGTATGCATAAATAAGTCTTTAAAAAAAAAAGATAATTTTAAGGAATAATTCTGTTTTATGATTAGATAATATCTTTTCAGAACTTTTTAACAATAATACCTTTATGGGTGCTGTTTTTAAAAGGTATAATCTTAATTCTGACTATTTATTTGTGGTGGTCTGTCTTGCTTTATCTGTTTATTCTTCATAGTGTGAAGAGTTTTTCCCCCTTTTTATCTTTGGGGACATCTTTGAGGCATTCACTTATGCCTCAATTACGGCAACTTTATGATTATGTAGTCACTTTAGTATATAAGTGAATAAATATGCTGAAAGATGGAAAGAATATTTTTTGTAAAGATGCACTTGAAATGTGTTTTTTTTTTAGAAATGCTTTGAATGTAGTGAAGAATGATTTGATAGCGAAAGTGGATGAGCTCACCTGTGAGAAAGACGTGCTACAAGGGGAATTGGAGGCTGTTAAACAAGCCAAACTAAAGCTTGAGGAAAAGAACAAGGAATTGGAGGAAGAGCTGAGGAAGTAAGTTTTCATTATGTTGTTCTAAGTCAAACTATCTTTGCTGGTGTGTCACAGAGAGTAGCAAGTGTAACTCAGAGGGCCTTCAACCCTCGAGCCTGGAAGGGCCATAACCTGCCTGAGTTGGGGAGGGGCCCTTTTGATTGTGCTCTGAGCAGGCCCCTGCATCTACTGCATTATCAGTTTTTGATGTCATAATGTGAAAACTGTTAGAACTGTTCAAATCTTGCTAAAAAGAAAATTAGAAACATTTTTCTTCACCCAATTTTCTTTAACACCTTTTTTTAAAAATTCTTAGAACACTGTTATAACATTTCCCCTAGATGAAGGCAGATACTCTATTTGAAAGTAAAAAAATAGTCACTTAGGGTGATAAAATTGTGGGCATACTTTGTCACTCTTGGAAAAGAAAACTCACTTCAATAACATGTTTTGCTTTTCTCCCCACTAGAGCTCGTGCGGAAGCTGAAGATGCACGGCAAAAAGCAAAAGATGATGATGATGTAAGTTTGCAGTTTTGAACTTTTTTTCCTTACCATGTCTTTGTAAACATAAAATTTGAGAAAATCTTGTTAATTAAACTTTGGATATAGCATTATAAAATTTTTTTTGAGTCAGAAGGCTAATTTACAGTCATGAATAGGATAGAGTTACCACCTCCCACATGGCCTCCACACACTAAGCTTTCTAGCTACATATGGCTCTGCTCCCACTGTGTTTGCATGTTTGATCTCAAAGACCAAGTGGGACATTGTGGATTTTTTGTTGTTTGTTTTGTTTCAAATTTTGACTTAGAAATATGAAAGCTTTATAGTAAAAGTTGTTTAGTAGTCTCAAACATAAAAAGATGAAGTCTAGATAGGCCCAAAAATATATGTGACATATAAGTTATAAAGTATAATAAATTAGCATTGTGAAACTACCGCTTAACCTAAGATCTAGACATTATCAAACATTGAAGCTGCCTGTGCGCCTCCTTTCTGGAGGAAACTACTACTGTTCTGTATTTATCATTGTCTTACCTTTAACAAAATATTATTTTCACACTACACATGTAAATCATACTAAAAAATGATTTAATTTTTGTTATTTTTATATTTATTTTCTATTTAGTCTTGGAGATTTGCTTCTTATACTCTGTGTTATGTTTTTAAGATTCATCTGTGTCGTAATTTAGTGCTATAGTTCACTCATGTTCATTGCTTTATAATATCCTATTACGTGCATATACTGGAATTTATGTATCTGTTTTCCTGTTAATGAATATCTAAGTTATTTTCAGCTTTTTATTATCACAAAAAACATGCTGTTGTTATGAATGTTATAGTACAAGTGTGCTGTATTTTTTTTCCAGGGTGTATGCCTAGTAGCACAATTGTTGTGTTTCAAACTCAGAGTCCTTTAATCATTTGTTTGACTTGTATTTATTTATTTATTTGTTTGTTCATTTATTTTATTTATTTATTTATTTATATAAGCACTGTGTACAATCAGAAGCACGGGAGGGTGAGAGAATTCACCAGAGCCAGAGTGGAGAGCAGAGCAGGCAGAAGGACTGAAGTACACTGCTGAGGGGAGCAGCAGGAGGCAGGAGAGGTCTGCGCGCCATGTGGGACCCTCCTCTGGTGGCTGGGGAGCAGCCGGGGATCGAACCGGCGCTGCAGATGCTGTGGGCAGCTTTGCATCCCAGCGCTCAACCACTATGCCACTGGGGAGGACCTGTTTGACTTGTGTTTAAAGGAGAGACCAATTTCTGTGACAGAAGGAGATTGAAGGAGGTCTCAAACTTTCTTACTGTCCAAACCTTTCTTACAGCTTTGATCCAAAACATGTATATTCCACTCAACCAAACAAAAACCCTGTAGTTAAACCAACTTCCCTCCCCAAAAGAGCACTTAGAAATCAGCAATAGAAGGAAGTTGACTTAAGCATGCCCCATTGGAGTCTTAGCATACTCACATCCCTTATTTTTTCCAAGAAGAATTATGGTTAATACAGTTGTCCCCATCTTGTATTTCTGTTTGTTTTACTGACTCTTAGAGTTGGGTACCTTGGTGACTAGTCAGTAAATTTATGCTTGGTATACATATGAATTGGTAGTTTGAGATAAAGGAACCTCTTTTGGAACCAACTTGTAACTAATTTCTGAATGAATAACATTTTTTTTTTAATTTTTAAAAAAAGATTTATGTATTTATATGTACAAGAACTGGGAAGTAAGCCACAGGTGCGGGGTGTGAGAGGATTCACCAGACATAATGGGAAACAGAACAGGCAGATCTCCTGAAATACACTGCTGAGGAGAGTAGTAGGCAACAGGAGAGGTCTACTGTGCCCTGTGGGTCAGCTCCCTAGTGGTGTGTCTTTAACCCCTGCACCACCAGAGAGGCCCTAATGACTAGCATTTGTTATAAAATATGAATTTAAATCGTCAGAGCAATATTTTCAGTTGAACATATTAAATCAATTTAGATAAGTTAACTTTTTTTAGTTTGCAATCTCTACCTGTATTTCCTCAAATACCTGTATTTATATTAAAAAATTAAGTTGTCTGCTTTTTTAGTCATAATTATTTAAACCTCATTGATTTATTTTATTTTATTTTATTTTTTTTTTAAATAGAGGCATGTTTTATTTATTTGTTTGTTTGTTTGTTCGCTTGTTTATACATGCACTGGGTAGAGTCAGAAGTGCGGGAGGGTGAGAGAATTCACCAGAGCCAGAGCGGGGAGCAGAGCAGGCAGAAGGACCGAAGTACACTGCTGAGGGGAGCAGCGGGCGGCAGGAGAGGTCTGCGTGCCATGTGGGACCCTCCTCTGGTGGCTGGGGAGCAGCCGGGGATTGAACCGGCGCCACAGAGGCTGCGGGCAGCTTCGCAACCCAGCGCTCAACCGCTGCGTCACCGGGGAGGCCCTCATTGATTTATTTTAAACAGCCATTTTTCTTTCAGTGATCGATTACATTAGAAATTAAGGAATTGTCTAAAAGTTTAAAGATTTTGCTTACGTCTGAGATAATAGGCTCTCAGAATGATCTATTTAGTATTTATTTCATTATAGAGTGATATTCCTACAGCCCAGAGGAAGCGGTTTACTAGAGTAGAAATGGCCCGAGTTCTAATGGAGAGAAACCAATATAAAGAGAGATTGATGGAGCTTCAGGAAGCTGTTCGATGGACAGAGATGATTCGGTTAGTATGAGAAGTACCTCTGGTGTTTTTCTATTGTTTCCTATAATTCCTTGATTCAAAACTAAAATCATCCTACTTTAGGGATCCAAGACCTTAGTTCTGTTTACTAAGAAAGACTTTTTAAAGAAACACTCAGAATTAGTAGGAGTGTGATCAAGGCCAGTAGCTGCTCTTGGAGAATGGCCCCACCGCCTCTAAAATGAGTTGTTATTACTTAGGAATGATGCTTATTTTTCAAAAGAATATAGACATTGACAGTCCTTTGCAATAATGCCAGGAAATGATGAAAAGCCATCTACCACATAGGAAATTAAATCATTTTATTTGGTGACTCTTTGTAACATATTCTTGCATTGCCCCACCCCTATCTGACTAAACATGCAAAATGCAGCTTACATGGACATCTTTGTCAGTTGGATCTTAAATCTCACCTAATGCTGCCATCTAATGGTCATATTCTCAGCAACAGTCCTTACTTTAGAGAGAACCCATGAAAACTTTTTAATTAGTTGTCCCCTATTTTGCTCATATTTTAGAGTTTGTGTTGTAACATCAAATTTACCACTAATAATACATACTGACACATTTTAAGGTGTGTGAACATATTTTCCTGACTGCCAACTTTTACTTCATTATGATTATATCATTTATATAGCAGTCTATATATATCCTTTCAATGTCATACTAGAAGAAAATATTTTCTGTAGCATAATTGCATCTTGCTAAAATTGTAATCGTTTATACCTGATAAGAAGTAAGGAGATGAGTATTTTAATCTTTTTATTGAACAAAGAAACTAATGGACTAGAAAGTATATTCTTAAACAATGAAGAAGCATTTTAAAAACTGAGGTATATAGGCAGACTCCACTTTTCATTGGTAGTCTGTAAGTATAGAGAAATGGTAACTTACTTTTACATTGATTTCAAAGATTTTAATTCAGTCCTTGAAAAAAAAAAGGGGCTCTGATAGTGATAGCAGAATCTTTAACTCTTTACTAATTAGTTTGAAATGCTTTATTCTCCTGAAAAAAAATTTTCTTTCCAATTGCACTTTATTTTTTAAATATTTGTTTTTATTTATGCATACAAGAACTGGGATGTAGGTCAGAGGTGCAGGAGATGAGAGGATTCACCAGAGACAGAGTGGGGAGTAGAACAGGCAGATCTGCTGAAATACAGTGCTGACAGGAGCAGTTGGTGAGACAGGAGAAGTCTACTCCACCATGTGGGTTAGCTCCCTAGCTGAGGATTGAATTCATGCTGCAGTGGCTGGTGATAGCTTGATAGTGCTGAGACTTTAACCTCTGTGCCACCAGGGAGGCCCATATTCTCCTGAAATTTTTTTGAAGTGCCTATCAATCCAGTTTGCCCACCTTCATTTTTGGTGATGGGAAAGTTTTAGTCCTGTGAAAGACCAGACGGAACAGTAAAGTTGCAAGCTATTTTTTGATAACTGGGCATATAAGACAATAGAGACCTTTAAAGACAGGGTTACACAGGAAATATTTTGAAAAAAGGGAGACTTGGAGGCTGTCTTCAGTAAAAAAAATTTTAGATGCTGACATTCAGGTATATTGACTGTCCAGTATAAGTGACAGTATTGTCTCTCTCAATAGATTGAGCTCCTTGTGGGAGGAATAGCATTTTATTTATCTGAATTGTGCTAGTCTTAGTAGATATGACGGGTCACAGTAACTATTTGCTGAATTTAATTGTTGATTCTCCTTTGTGTATTCCATGAACTTCTTGTTCTTTAGCTAGGAAACTAGCACACCTCACTAATAACACATTTCCTTCTTTTTTCTTTTTTAAATGCAGTGCATCAAGAGAAAATCCAGCCATGCAGGAAAAAAAAAGATCAAGCATCTGGCAGTTGTGAGTATCTAAAAGCATACAGAGACATTAGATGGCACTTTGAGACAAGAAGATTAGGTCAAAATTTATTTTCAAGAGTGATTTTGTATAATCTTTTTAAAATTTGTGAAATATGGCTAAACTGAATATTTTCTTTTTGATATGTAGTGTGCCAGCTCGGTAAGGCTGCTCTTGAAGACAAAAATGATGCTGTTGTAAGCTGCATCATGTTGGCTATGCATTTGTTGAAATCCTCTGCAAAGTTAAATAATGGGGAATTATTTAGAGTTAATTAATTATCTGGATTCCCAAAAGTTATTTATTTACTGGTTGTTTGATAAGGGACATTATGAAGTAATGATTAGAAATTAGTGTTTATGGAGTTTGAGTAGTGTGTATATGTGTGTTTTGGAATTGAATTACCTTCATGCCAGAAGTACTGTTACTACTTACTGTGCTTAAAACTTAACCACATTTTTGTAAACCTGCTCTTTTGTAGATGTGTTGATTTTTTTTTTTTGAAGTAGATCTAAAAAGTTACTTAAATTGAATTTAAAAAGAAAATATGTAAGATGTGTGTTAAAATAGTAGTAAGTGTTTTAGTACTTTATTATGACTACATTTACAACTGGTATACCAATCGTTGTTCAAGCCATGTAGCCACAATCTTGTTGTTTAACAACCACTCTGGCTAGCATCAAGTATGTACTAGCTAAAGGAACCATCTTATTTTATTTCTTCATTATGGGACTTCCCTGTACTTAAGAACTTTTTGCTTTCATTATGGGAATTGTTAATAAAAGAATATTCTTTAGAATGGCCTGGATCTGCCATTCTAAGCCATAGTTTCTCTTTCCTGAATGTCTGAGTTTGGCTGTGTGTGTGACTCACAAAATATTTTTTTGCCGATTAATTACTCATTGATTGCCTTGTGAAAGCCATTTGGAGTTTGTGTGGAAAGTTATGGATTGTTCTTCACAGTGCATGTGATACACACAAACAAAAACACACATTCTTCATATACAAACACACTGTTTTGCTCTTTAGTTTCAGCCGACTTTTCAGCTCCTCAAGTAATACTACTAAGAAACCTGAACCACCTGTTAATCTGAAGTACAATGCACCGACCTCTCATGTTACTCCTTCTGTCAAGAAAAGAAGCAGCACCTTAGCTCAGCTACCTGGAGATAAGTCGAAAGCCTTTGATTTCCTTAGCGAAGAGTAAGTATTTTCCAAATGAGTGGTTTTGCCCTACATAAGTTAACAGTTCAGAATATTCTTGTTCTTTATTAAATCAGCAGTAAGGTTTCAGGCAAATCTGTAGAGAAACTATTTTTGTAACTTGACTACCTTTAAGTAAATTATTTATGGTCAGTACCTTTTAATAATATTGAATTTCACACTTTTCATAGAGAAGGAATTTTTTTGAAGTCTCACTTTTATTGATATGGCAATATTGATAAATATTAATGGAAGTATTAAAGACCTAAATAAGCCTTTCTCCAAAATGTTTGATTATTTTCTTTGGTGTCAGAGGACTTGGTTTTCCATCCTGACTGCTATTCTTTAGGTACATGAACTTGAGCAAGTTAGCATCTCAGAGCCCTTCTTTCTTTGCCTATGAGTATGATAACCTACTTCAGAGGTATTAGGATTGAATTATAAAGTGTCTGTAAAAAGTCTGACATGCTGGTAGATTTCTTTAACTATGATATACTTAGCAATTTACTTCACAAAATTGACCCAAAGAAAGACAAACCATTTTTCAAAATCAGCATTTTGCTCTGTAACTCTAAAGCTCACCAAGTCATTTTGCATTTTTGTCTTTTGAAACAAGTTAATGAGGTCCAAAAGTTAGCCTGTATTATTTCCTAAGGAGAGAATTGATTTATTGATCTCACTCATTTTTATTTACATTCCCTGGCATTAGAAAATTATTGGTTAAGTATTTGTTGGGTGGGGGAAAAAAAAGGAGGAGCCAAAAGTATATGAGTATTTTTCCTTTATATATGGCTTAAATTGCAAACACGAGAAATTTGATGGCTGATGATTCAGAATACTGTAACAGGCTGTTTGCTAATTTAAAACATGGGTCGTGTATTCACTGGACAGCTTTAGCATAATACTTCATAAGGAGGAGTTGTAGCCTAAAATAAATTAATCTGAAATCATGTGTTTGTTGTTATTTTTGCTATCTTAGCAGTAGGGGAATGTGTAAGTTGCTCTATACATTTAATTAGAAGGGAAATTTCTTTTCCTTTTAGAACTGAAGCTAGTTTAGCCTCACGCAGAGAACAAAAGAGAGAACAGTATCGTCAGGTGAAGGCACATGTTCAGAAGGAAGACGGCAGAGTGCAGGCCTTTGGCTGGAGTTTGCCTCAGAAGTACAAACAGGTAAAGTATAAACATGGTGAGAGCATTTAGTGGAAAATGCCTGGACATGAAAGAAAATACACACCCTAAGCCTGTTCATTTTAAGCTTTATGGACTTGGCACATATACAGAGAAGTGTTGAGAATAGTGATTTTCAGCTTGTTTTCTAGAAATGCCTCTAGTCTTTGAGGAGAAAAGAGGGCTCAACAGGAGATGTCCAAGTATATGCAACTTGAGGTGTTCTACTCTGTTTTAATATTTAATATTTTAATTTTTTAAGAGGCAGTATCTGTTATTTAAAAGTTTTTTTTAAAGCTTTATTTTTTATTTATGCATACAAGAACTGTGGTATATGCCAAAGGTGTCAGGGGGCTGAGAAGATTCACCAGAGACAGAGTGGGGTGCAGAACAGGTGGATCTACTGAGTTACATTGCTGAGGGGACCAGCAGGTGAGACAGGAGAGGTCTGCTGTGCCATGTGGGTTAGCTCCCTGGCTGGGGATTGAACTCATGCTTCAGTGGTTGGCGATAGCTTGATAGCAGTGAGACTTAACCCCTCTGCCACCAGGGAGGCTCTATTTAAAAGTTTTAAGAAGGCTTTCACCAGGAGCTTTTCAAACCATTGACTAAAAATTCAATTCAGGTCTTCAGGAATCATTTTTCTTGTCTATTCCATATTCCCTACCCCAAAGACTCAGTTTATGCATTTATATACACATCTTCACACCCATATGTGTATACCCACATATAAAAACATGACTGAATTCATCTATCTTTTATTTTCTCTGTTACTTGATTTTCTGTTTATTTTTCAAATAAGAATGACAAAATTTACTTGAATTTTATTTCAAGAATTAAGTATATAATAGCTGAATTGTAGTTAACTTTTGATAATACTGTCCAATGTATGTTTTTCTCTCCTCTCCCCAATTATTAGGTAACCAATGGTCAAGGGGAAAATAAGATGAAAAATTTACCTGTTCCTGTCTATCTCAGACCTCTGGATGAAAAAGATACATCAATGAAGGTAAATTAATTTTGAAGTTAAAGGAAGTCATTTACTAAACTCTGAGTGGGTGAGCTTTTTTCTAAAAGCAAAAAGTTCTATTTCTGTAGGTGAGATTATTGTTCATTTCTTTCTAATAGTTTTAGACTGGGATACTTTGAATAATAAAGACCTATATTTGTAATCATTACATTTTTAAAGAAAATGTGACACATTCTACTAAACAGTTTCAGAAAGTAACTTAATGCCCCCCCCCTTTTTTTTTTAACCCCAAAAGCTATGGTGTGCTGTTGGAGTCAATTTATCAGGTGGAAAGACCAGAGATGGTGGTTCTGTTGTTGGAGCAAGTGTATTTTACAAGGACATTTCTGGTTTGGATACAGAAGGCAGTAAACAGCGGAGTGCATCTCAGAGTAGTTTAGATAAGTTAGATCAGGAACTTAAGGTAAGTGCCTGCACTAACATTTGATTTCCTGGTCTTTGAAGTTATTAGTTTATTAGCTTGTTAGTCAAAATTTTATTCTTTGTTCAGTTTCTAATTAGGAGTACTTGTTTACTCTTAACATTCTCTTTTTAAATCAGTTTTATTGAGCTATATTTGACATACAACAAAGTGTATGCTTGAAATAAGTACAGTTCAAGGAGTTTTGACAAATAGTATGCACTTAATGTAACAACCATCACAATCAAACTATCGAACATTTTTATCACTGATCTACTTTCACTACTAGTTTTTAGTCTACTAATATTGAAGAGTTGTATTTTTAGCCTTTCACATAATTTGAAAATATGTTTGAAATAGTTTGTCATTTACTATAATAACACAGTTTTATGAAAAGACATTATATACATATCATTTTAAACATAATTTTCCTTACTTTGCCTGTGTAGGAGCAGCAGAAGGAGCTAAAAAATCAAGAAGAATTATCCAGTCTAGTTTGGATATGTACCAGCACAAATTCAGCTACAAAAGTCATCATTATTGATGCTATTCAACCAGGCAATATTCTAGACAGTTTCACTGTTTGCAACTCTCATGTTCTGTGTATAGCAAGTGTGCCAGGTAAGAGGGCACCATGTCCCTCACACTGTCTGCATGCCTCCTTGCAGGACCTGATTTGGTTACTGGAGATGCACTGCCCTCATGGAATTTGTTCTTTCTTGTTTGAGTTTGTATTCTAGTTGGGAGAGACCAAAAATAAATTGGAAAGAAATGATTAAACAAGATAGTTTCAGATAATATAAAGAAAATAAGACAAGGGTAATATGAAAAGATGACTGGAAGGCAGAGCGCAAGGGACTATTTATATTGAGAGTGATTACAGGGCCTCCCTATTGGGGTTAAGTCTCAGCGCCATCAAGCTAACACCAGCCCCTGCGGCATGAGTTCAGTCCCTGGCCAGGGAGCTAACCAATGGCTCAGCAGACCTCTCCTGTCTCGCCTGCTGCTCCCCTCAACAGTATATTTCAGTAGATCTTCCTGTTCTGCTCCCCACTCTGTCTCTGGTGAAAATAAAAATAAATCTTTTTTTTAAAAAAAGATTGACTAGAAAGGGAAAGTCTTCCAAAGTTCTAGATTAAACATTAGTGATGTTAAAACATTAAAAAATTAAAGTGACTTGTGATATATCCATACAATGGGATACTATTAAAAAAAGGGTGAAATTCCGATACACATGCTACAATATGGATGTTTACTAAAATAAACCAGACACAAAAGTACAAATACTGTATGATTCTAATTGTATGATTCCTATTGTATGAACTATCCAATTTAGGCAAAATCATAGAAATAGATTTTTTTTTTAGTGTTTTTAAAAAAGATTTATTTATTTAAGCATACAAGAACTGAGGTACAGGCCAGAGGTGTGGGGGGTGAGAAGATTCACCGGAGACAGAGTGGGGAGCAGAACAGGCAGATGGACAGAAATACACTGCTTAGGGGAGCAGCGGGCAAGACAGGAGAGGTCTGCTGCGCCATATTATCCCTGGCTGGCTGTGGATAGCTTCACAGTGCTGTGCTTCAGCCCTTGCACCACCAGGGAGTCCCTATCTTCCTAATCTTGAGGCACTGTATGTATTCTTAGGGTAATTAATTTTTAATAGTGATGAGTGGAAGTCCAGATTCAAATAGTAAGCTTGATAACTAGTTGATTTGCTGACTTGTCATAAATTACTAGATTTCTTTGTTTTTTAACTTCATTAGGTGATTGTTGAGGAGCTTATATTAAAAGCAGAAGTGTCATTTTGACATTTTCAAGTTCACTTGTGCTTGTAGTAATGGAAGGAACATCTTAAATTTTTTAGCTGTTTTCTCAATTTGTGAAGGTTACTTTAAATAAAATTTAAATTACTATCTTAATGTATTCAAATAACGTTCATCTTCACATTCTAATTTCAAACCTAGTTGGTTTTTTTTTTTTTTTTTGGAGAAAAAAATTAATAAAGGTTTATTGACTTATTTTTTTTTAAGGAGCACGAGAAACAGACTACCCTGCAGGAGAAGAACTTTCAGAATCTGGACAGGTTGACAAATCGTCTTTATGTGGAAGTGTGACAAGCAATAGTTCAGCAGAGACAGACAGTCTGCTGGGCGGTATCACGGTGGTGGGTTGTTCTGCAGAAGGTGTGACGACAGCTGCCACCTCCCCTAGTACCAATGGTGCTTCTCCAGTGATGGAGAAACCACCAGGTATGCCTGTTTTTCCTTACAAGCTATCTATATATGTATTATGTACTTGATCTAGATCTTAAAGTTATAAGGATGAAAGAGCTTGAAAGAAGTATTGACTATTAAATGAAATAAAGAACTCTCAATTTCACAGTGTAGTGTGGTAGAAGAGGGGATCATTAAGGTGGAATTCTGTAGCAGAGTTTGTGTCAGGACATTATTAAAAGAGAAAAGCCCAAACTCTAGATAGTTAGCATGTTTTATTTATTTTGTAGAAAAGGAAACAGAAAATAGTGAGGTTGATGAAAATGTTCCAACAGCAGAAGAAGCCACTGAAGCCACAGAAGGTAATGCAGGGTCTGCTGAAGACACCGTGGACATCTCTCAGACTGGCGTGTACACAGAACATGTCTTTACGGATCCTTTGGGAGTTCAAATCCCGGAAGACCTCTTACCAGTGTATCAGTCAAGGTATACAAGTGGGTTCACAATTAGGAAGCCAGATAAGTGCAACAGAAAAGGAACAAGATAATCTGAAGCAGGAAAAATAAATCCCATAATTGGCATTGTTGTGGGCAGACTTAAATGTTATTATTCCCATTGTGTTCTCTTCATCTGTTCATTCCACTGCGTGCTCTCTGGATATATATTTTTCCATTTGTTCTCTATTTGCAACTTTAAAAAACTCTTATCTATAAAGCATATTAGTCAGACTCTTTCTGGTCTTTTTCTCCTCTGATTTTTATTTATTTATTTTTTAAAGATTTATTTATGCATACAAGAGCTGGAGCACAGGGCAGAGATGCGGGGGGTGAGAGGATTCACCAGAGACAGAGTGGGGAACAGAACAGGCAGACTGACCGAAGTACACTGCTGAGGGGAGTAGCGGGCGAGACAGGAGAGGTCTGCCTCGCCATGTGGGTTGCTTCCTGGCCAGCCAGGGGTGGAACTTGTGCTGCAGAGGCCGCAGATTGCCTCATAGTGCAGTGCTTGATGCTTGACCCCTTGCACCACCAGGGAGGCCCTGATTTTTATTTTTTAGTTGTACTCACTGTCTTCAATTATATTGCAAACTTTTGCCATTTTAATCCCCACCCCTACTCTCACTCCCACTCTAGTTCATTGTCCATTGTTTAAATTTCCCATGTGGACTTGAATGTCTTTTTGAATTTAATTTCATGGTAAACATTTTATTAGAAAATAGTTTGTTTAGGTTCTTAAAAGCTTGGTTAATCTTGGACCCATGTAGTGAATTCTTTCTTTCTTGCCATCTTTAAAGCCTTATCAAAAGCTGATGGGCGGGTTTATCTAAACTGGATCATTTTTGCAATTTAATATTCTTCCTAGTATATAGAGCAGTCAAGAGCAATCAATGTTTAATTGTTAATTTAAGAATAAAATCATGTTCTTATAATTACTATGTTCATTTGTCTGTTTTGAATTTGATAGCTCAGTTATCTCTTTACTACTCAGTTATCTCTTTATCTCTTTACTGAAAAAAGAGTTTGGTACATGATACAAGCATGTTTCAACTTATTATTTTAGAAAATTCTTTCTTTTCCCTCCTTTGTGTGGATGGTTTTAAAACAAACCATTCTCTCTCTTCTCTCCATCTCGAAGATACTCATAAAAATGCAGGATGCTAACTGCTGTATTTCATTGCCATGTGTTATCCCCCATTGCACCCCCTGCCCCGGTTGTCTGTGCCTTGGGTCTCGTAGTATGTTAATGTTGCTTCTGTTAATTGCTAAATATTCTGTAAATTGCTAAATATTTAATGTAAGCATTTTACTTCGACTTTCTGGAATTTTATTGTTGGATTTTTTTAAAATTGTAAGCTAAAATATAGAAATACTCAATCCCTGAAAACTATAGCTGAGCACACTCAAACTTTTTCCCTTTCCCCCCACCTTTCCCAGTAATGACTCAGATGTGTTTAAAGATCAAATATCAGTATTGCCTTGTGAACAAGACTTGGCGAGAGAAGAAGCCCAGAAAATGAGTAGTCTTTTACCAACTATGTGGCTTGGAGCTCAGAATGGCTGGTAGGTGCTAATTCTTTTATTGTTAAAATATATTTAGTCTGTTACTTTTGCTTTTGAAATCAGAAGATAAGTAAAATGTACATTTGAATGTGAACAAAAGTATATATGAAAGCAGAGAATTTTATGCGTACATATTTTGAGATTATATTGCAACTACTTTATAAACTGGATCTACAGTGGTTCTGAGTGATAAACTATAGGTTCTTTGTCACAGATTATTCCCTTAATATAATATTCTTGGAAGAGGAAGCAAGTAAGACTGGGTGATACAGAAATAGAAGATCCTGAATTGCATAGATAAAGAATTATTGATTCATAGAAGGTTTCTGTAGACTAAAGTGTGTTCAGGAAATAATACCAGGAATTAAACTAGTATGTTTAAATGTAGGGAGGCCCAATTCCAAACAACTTTTTAGTAGGAAAAATCAGTCTAAGGTTATAACTGATATTACATGGTTTGTTTACTTTCTGTTAGTATGGGGAGTCTTATAAGATTGTGCTTTTCCAAAGGTAAGGCGGCATCAGTAGTGTACCTTTTCATTTGGGGTCTAATGCTACAAATTGAAAAGTTAGGCAGACCTTTTCTGTGAAGGGTTAGATACAAATTATGTCAGCTTTTTGAACATATGATCTCTAGCAACTACTCTGCTATTGTAGTACAAAAGCAGCCATTACATTGATAATACATGCCAAGTTGTGTGACTATTCCAGTAAAACTTTGTTTATGCATTAAATAAAAGAAAGATGAAGGATAAAAAAAAAAAAAACAACTTTGTTTATGGACATTTGCTGCTCTCTGATGTAAACCACTCTGCCCTCAGAAAGTTATAATGCAGTACAGTAGAAAAGTAAAGTAATTTTTTATAAAGAATGTTAGCCAAGAATTCTGTAGTATGGGCTGTCCTGAAACTATGCATTATTCTAGTTTTAATTTTTCATTCTTCATATGTTTCTGTTTGCTTGAGCAACTTGTTCCTCTGCCTTAGGTCTCCCCTTTCTCTTGCTTTGTTTTTTTTTTTTTTCTTTTTCCCCCTAAAATTTTTGTTACTCTTATTTCCTCCTGAAGGAATTGTGTGGTCATTATTAGATGTAATTAATGACTTAATGTTCTCTATGCCTTACCAGTCTTGATTTTTGTTCTTGCAGTTTGTATGTCCATTCATCTGTAGCCCAGTGGAGGAAATGTCTCCATTCTATTAAACTTAAAGATTCGATTCTCAGTATTGTGTAAGTTTTATTTTAGAAATTCTTTTAAAAACATGTATTTTTGTATAAACTAGATCTTTAAGACTACAAAGCTCACTTATACGTCATGACTAAATCAATATCCAGAATGTTTTTTTTTTTAAGATTTATTTATGTGTACAAGAGCTGGGGGGTAAGCCAGAGGTGCGGGGAGGGTGAGAGGATTCACCAGAGACAGAGTGGGGAGCAGAACAGGCAGATCTACTGAAATACACTGCGGAGGGGAGCAGCGGGCAAGACGGGAGAGGTCTGCTGCACCATGTGGGCCGGCTCCCTGGTCAGGGATCGAACTTAGGCTGCAGTCTCTGGAGATATCTTCATAGTGCTGAGACTTAACCCCTTGTGCCACCAGGGAGGCCCCAGTGTCCTGATTTTTTTAAAACCCTTTTGTGGAATTAGCGAAGTTGAATTTGGTTGAAACTAACTAGTAAGTAAAATAGAAGACTAAGTAGAAGAGAAAATTTCTCTTAACCAGGTTGACACCTCACAATACTGTGAGTTCATTGGTATTCTGGGGAGAAAACCAACTAACAACTATTAATCTATATTTGTTTTAGAGTATTCTTTAGCTTTTGTGAATATGTTGATTGGGGCACTCATTTACTAGTCCTTTTCTATAAGCTGACTATCAAAAATCAGAGTTTTCCTCTTAAGGTCACAGAACCAAGTTATGTTAGTTCCTTTAAAGATTATCTCTCTCTGGTCTAAGGAACTTTTGTCAACAGTCTGCAGTGAGAGGATCTTGAGTCAGAAAGTGAAACAGCCAAGTCACCACCACAGAGGCTCTTTATTTAGTTCAACTGACATTTTCATAGCAAGCCTTTCTCAATGAAGACAAGAGTGTGTTCCTTTAGGTTCTGGTGTCAACCCCTCATTTATCACAGATTGGCCCTCTGAGAGATAGCATATGGTCCCTTCCATGTTCCCTAGTAGAGAGTTCTGAAATCCCCTTTCCTCTTTTCAGGCATGTGAAAGGAATTGTGTTAGTGGCCTTGGCTGATGGCACCCTTGCAATCTTTCACAGAGGAGTTGGTAAGTTGATATGCATATGTAATACCTGCACTAATCTGTTACTTCGCAAAAGAATTTTTAATCAAGTTGACTTCTTATGCTTTTTTATTTATTTATGCATACAGGGACAGGAGCATAGGCCAGAGATGTGGGGGGCGGGGTGGGGGGGAGGTGGTGAGAGGATTCACCAGAGACAGAGTGGGAAACAGAACAGGCAGACTGACTAAAATACACTGCTGAGGGGAGCACTGGGTGAGACAGGTGAGGTCTGCTGCGCCATATGGGTTTCTCCCTGGCCAACTGGGGATCGAACTTGTGCTGCAGAGGCTGTGGATTGCTTCATAGTGTGGTGCTTAACCACTTGTGCCACCAGGGAATCCTGACTTCTTATGCTTTAAAGAAATGATACTAATAAGAGAAAGAATAAAGGTTTAAACTGACTACTAACCATGTATGACATCAGTAAATATGTGAGTACCTGCTTGGGTGTTTACTATTGTTATATTAATATAAACTATACATTGTAGTATATCTCAGTGAAAACATTAACCATAATAAACAAGTAACTAATTTCTTAGTACTCTTAAATGTGATATGAAGTATTTGTTTTTCATTTATTAAGAGAAATTTAGTGAGATTATATGTTTTCTTTTGCAGTGTTTTAAAATTAACTTGCATCTAATCTTTTTTTTTTTTAAAAGTTTTTAGTTGGATGAGGTTTAGTCATTTTCATGTCATAATACTTATATTTTCCCCCTTTAAGACCAGCATTTATATAATCTAAAGATGGAGGAGGGGGGTAGTGTCAGAAGACCTGCCTTGAGTGAATTAAATTAAGAGAATTAAGCATGTATCTCTTCATAACTCCTCATACATGTATCACCCAAAAATAACTTCCTACCTGCTATATTGGCGGACAAGGGAATACTATAAAAACATAGATACACTGAATTCAGATTTTAGCAAGACTTTGTATCCTTTTAGGCTTGGAGAAATGTGAGGTCGCTGATACTTAGGGGCCTTTATAATTGTTTCCCAGAGATTGCTGGTTAATGTGCCATATCATTAAAGAGTGACCATCTGTGATGATGGGCAGGCCCTTTAATGTAAGTTTCACAGCAACCTACGAGGAAGGTTTTATTGTCATTTTCTAGATGAAGAAACTGAGGCACAAAGTTTTAGTCACTTGTTCATGGTTACTCTGAATAAATTAGAAGAGACTAGAAACTAATGGAATAAATAAATGTTTTGGTAAACTGATGCTAAAATTATATTGACAGAGCAGACAAAAAACATTTAATAAGGGTAAATATTAAGTCCTGCATTTGTTCAGAAAAATAAAATGGAGAAGACATTAGAGTGAGAATACCTGTTGACTACAAACTCAATAGAGTTCATTAATGTCTGGAACCTCAGAAATTGTTTCCAGAATAAGGCTGGTGATAATTCTGTTCCACGATGGTAGACAGACAATATATTAAGTGGACATGGAGAAAGCGGAGTTAGGATGATAGGTCTATAAACTATTATGTACAAAACATGGAAAGGATGCTTGGTTTTGAAAGGAAGACAAGGGGCAGTAACAAAGAAGTAGTACTAGATTTAGCTTGTATTTCCATTGGACAAAACTATAGTTACATCCAAGACTTTAGCTAGATATGGGGTATAGTTTTCAGACAATTAAAACTTCCTGAAAATAGAACAGCTACTTTGTGAGGTAGTACGTTTTCATCCATTGAAATTGTTTAAGTGAAGCTACAAAGCAAAGAAAGCTTTTGTGATTGGTTCTCATTTGCATTTCTGTCATCACTAAAATGATAGTATGCATAATTAAAGTATTAGCAATGACTTGCCCTTCTAACCAAGAAAATACATCAAAATGCAAGTAAGTGAAAGATCTCCCAAATAATCTTAAATCCATTCTCGCTCTAAAATATTATTACAAAGCTAACTTACAACAGATTTATCACAGCACTGCTGTTAAGAGCATGGGGGTCTTTGTACTCGGTGGCAGTTTGGACCAGGTCATCTAATTTTGCAATATATAGAATAAAAGAACACAGTCTCTGTAAATAAAAGATATACTGAATACGTGGTGGGGGGGGCACTTACGTCAATAAATTTAATCATACAAACCAAATAGAATGTTACTTATAAATAAAAGATGGTAAGATCAACTAATAATCTATTTCTTAACTTAAAGATGGGCAGTGGGATTTGTCAAACTATCACCTGTTAGACCTTGGACGGCCTCACCATTCCATCCGATGCATGACGGTGGTACATGACAAAGTCTGGTGTGGCTATAGGAACAAAATCTATGTGGTTCAGCCAAAGGCCATGAAAATAGAGGCAAGTTAATCCATGTTTTCTGTACTTCATGAATTTGTGTTACCTGAAGACTAAGACTATTTTCAGCTTCATTAGAAGTCACTTCCTAAATCTATATCTTTTAGAGTACTTGAATAACTCGTTGGATGGCATTTTCACTTTCTTTGTCACTTCACCTCTCTCCCCTTTTTTGGCAAGAGGGTGGGAAGTGTTTTGTTTTTGTTTTTAAGAAAGGACACATGTGGATGATTGAATATGTGTTTGAGTATCCATGGGACATGCATGTATTTGAATATGTGGATGTTGATATGTCCTTCATCATGGTTTGTGTGGGAGGAGGATTCCCAACTCTCCACCACCCCATGTGAATCCAGCCAAATCCATATATGTTTCATAGGCTGAGAATAAGATTGCAGAGGGAATTTGTTGTAAAAACAAAACCACTTAGCATTGTTTTCTTTACAAAAAGTTTTGCCTCAATACATAAATGCATTTTAATTGTTGAGAAAAAGAAAAACTTACAGCAGGAAAATAACTCAGAATTCCTCCTTTTCATTTGTCTTAAATAAGGCTCCCTTCCTTAGAAACCCTAAAGTTAACAACCACTTGGTATTTATGATCAAATTCACTTGTGGTTTTTTTGAAGATTTATTTTTATTTATTTATACATATGGGAACTGGGGTATAGGCCAGAGGTGTAAGGGGGTGGGGAGTGAGAGGATTCACCAGAGACGGAGTGAGGAGCAGAACAGGCAGATCTACTGAAATATACTGCTGAGGGGAGCAGCGGGTGAGACAGGCGAGGTCTGCTACACCATCTGGGTTAGTTCCCTGACTAGGGATAGAACTCATGCTGCAGTGGCTGGCAATAGCATGATAGCACTGAGACTTTAACCCCTGCACTGCCAGAGAGGCCCCAAATTCAGTTGTTTTATTGATCATTAGAGAGGATAGATGTACCAGTATTGCTTCCTTAAGTTGATCTCTTATACAGCACTGAAATTCACTGTCCTTTAGTTTTATATTCTTCATTTTATTTCACAGTCTAGGATAAAAGCAATTATGTGTATAAAAATAATTACGCTTAGTAAACAATATTTAGGCTCCTCTTTTAATGTACAGTCTGCCAAATTGTTGTGCAATTTAGCGGTTTTTTAAACACCAACTCTTGTGTTATAAAATTAACATTGTGTTTAAACAATCTTTCCTAGAAATCATTTGATGCACACCCCAGGAAGGAGAGCCAAGTGAGGCAGCTTGCATGGGTGGGTGATGGTGTGTGGGTCTCCATTCGTTTGGATTCCACACTCCGTCTTTATCATGCACATACTTACCAACATCTACAGGATGTGGACATTGAGCCTTATGTAAGCAAAATGTTAGGTAAGCTTACATGCATTTTATCTTTGTTAATCAAAGAAAAGTTATTTTTAAATGGCTTCAAATGCTGGGTAAAACCAAAGATTAAGTTGCCTCAGGAATAGTGAGCTTTTATTACTGAGTCAGGCAGATGCTCTACCTATTACTCTACTATGGTTCTTGACAGAAACTTGGCATCATTTTTGACTCCTTTTCTTGCTCCCTTTATCTAACCCATCACCAGAAACTGTCATGTCTACCTCCAAAAATACCTTAAATCAATTATTTCTTTATCTCTATCACTGTTCCCTTAGGTCTGGCCACCATCTTTTAGGACTGGAAAACCATGAGCCTCCTAACTCTGTCTTTCCACTCCAGTCTGTTCTCTGTATAGTAACTAACATGCAAATATTACACCGCGACATACTTGCTCTTATGTAATGCCAGCCAGTTTTAGAATCTTCTGAAGTGAGGTAATATTTTGTGACATGACCAGAGCACACAGGTGGTCTGGACTACTCTCCTTGCTCACTCTATTCTGCCCATACTGACCCAAATTTAACAACTTCCTTCCCATTTCAGGATCCTCACATATACTGTATGCTCAGACCAAGAAGTTCTTCTTGATTCCTTTTCACTTGGTTTATAGGTTATAACTTATGTGTCACATTCAGAAAAAAACCTTTCCTGATCTCCCATTTTGATTTAGGGAGATCTTAAATCTTAAATCATCTCATACTTTTTTTTCCATGGGCTTATCATTATTGTAATTGCACCAGTATTATGAGATTCTTGTTTATGGTCTCTTCCCCTATGGACCATGGGCCCATAAAGGGCAGGGACCATCTCAAGACTTGTGCCCTGAGGACCTTAGTTTAAACTGCACTAGTGATTTATGACCTTTTTAGAACCATTGCTCTTAGAACTAGAGACAGACTAATTTCAGGGATTTATTTTGACCAAAGGTTAAATCTCTCTAGCTTAAATCTCTCTAGCTTACACTGAATAGTAGTTAAGATTTTTCCTAACATTGTGATTCTGTGATCATATTTTTCAGTATTTATAAGTAAAACTTCGAGTGACTAAATGTTTGTCTTAAATGTGTTACTGTTTAATATTTTGCCTTTCAAATCCCAGGAGCTAAGATCAGTTGTAAAAACTCTTGAAATAATGAGTACATCCAATCTCCCTTAATTTGTGTGTATGCTGTCCTAAAATTTCTAAACTACTTTAGGACCTAAAGAAGCAAACAAGGGAAGAATATTGGTTTTGTAGCAAAGTTGTTTTTATCTATGCAAAGAAAATTAAGGCAAACCAGAATTCTTTCAGCTAATAAAATGGAAAAATATTTGATTTCCCAATCTTGCAAACCTTGTTTTGTTGAAGTTTTTGTTCTGTGGTTTTGTTTAGTTTAGTTTGGTTTTCCAAGTCCCTAATTAAATCCTGTGTCGTATTTCCTAACCAGCAGTATCTTTTGAATGATAATGTAACGCCAGCTACTTTTAGAATTTTCTTTTACCATTAACTGTGAATTGTCAGATAGGTGATAAGGCTAAACAAATGAAAGTTCAATGTACACCTTTAGGAAACATGCAACAAGATCTGGTCACGTTTCTTCTCTTTTATATTAATCCAGCTACTATGAACTACTTGGAACTTAAAGCATCTGCTCTAGTTCTCAGTCAAGTGTTTTTTTCCTCCCCCGCCCCCCCACTGTACAGGTACTGGAAAACTTGGCTTCTCTTTTGTGAGGATCACAGCTCTTATGGTGTCTTGCAATCGCTTGTGGGTGGGGACAGGAAATGGTGTCATTATCTCCATCCCATTGACAGAAAGTAAGTATATTTCTCGATAAATGTCAGAGTGCAGATTGGAAGAGTTGCAGGGAATAGTTATACCCAGAATCTAGGAAGAAGGAATTGTTTCAGTATTGGCAAATTTGTGGTAATTCACAGTATCAGGCAGATGGCAAAAACTTAACTATTATTCCTTTACTATTTCTGTGAAATGTACAAACTCTAGGGAGTAAGCTACCATGTATCAGGACTAATATTTATAATTAAAAGTTTTTCACTGTGGAAGCTCTTTTTCTCATTTCAGGAATCCCAGTCCTATTTCATCTTTGAAATAAAAGTCTAAGTCCACTTTTCTTTCTGCTTTATTACGATGATTATCTAGAAATATTAAACTAGAAACATTCTGGTTTTTCTTATCTCCCTGGAAGATAGTTTAGGATATTTCATTTGGCTTATATGAGGTTTAGAAAAAGTTGTAGAGGAAGTTTCTCAGAAGGTCAGCAAGCCCTTATGTAGAGACAATCATCTGTTTGAAAAGAATGTGAACAAAATATACATTGTATGTTTTTTTTTAATTATGTTCCATTATTTTTTTAATGAAATGTACATTGTATATTTTCCATATTATGTTCCATTACATTGATCATTCATTAAATGAGTGTTTTTGTGTTGCAAAATTCATGGGCAAGGGATGGTTTAAAAGCAAGTGCCATAAATCTATAAAATAATTAATTACCACCTCAGAATTGCCCCACCTTTTTTCAGAGGAAAGGGAGGACTGGAAACCGGCATATCTGGAGTCTTTAAAGTACCCAGGTTCTTGATCCCAGATTTATATTCTGCAATTACTTATAAATCTACATATTTGGACCACTTCTTATGTTAAGAGATTCCAGAATCTCCAGAGTTCCTTTCAGTTCTTTGCAAGAGAGTTCTGTTTTGGCATAGTTACCAAAACAGAATTTCTTAAAGAAAAATAAGAAATACTAGCATTTAGAAAATGCTCCATATAAGTTCTCATTCACTGAAATTGCTTTATAATTAAAAAAAAGTAAAACCATACTAATTCAAATTATCCTTGTAGATCAGAGATATTCTGTAGAGGCTTTGGTAAGAATTTTATATGTTACTTGATAATATACTGAGTAGGAGTTTATTAATTTAGTTAGGAGCCAGATAGAAGAAGCTGAGAGTGGTGGCTCATAGTAATTCTTCTCCTCCCTGTCATGCACCTCTCCATGTCCCCTTTCCTCCTTTCTCACTTTAGCCGTAATCCTCCACCAGGGACGTTTACTGGGGCTGAGGGGTAAGTGCAGATCCTGAACCAAACTCTTCTGGCTTCTCATAGCCACTGTGAGGCTGTTCCCACTTCTCTAGAATACCTTCCTGAATGTTCCTAAATGTCATTCACTTGCAGTCACTGCATTGCAGCAGGTGTATTTTTTTTTTTTATGTTTGTTACACAGCCACCAAACTACTGCTCAGCAGCTTAGTCTATTTATCATCTTTTGTTGCAGCTGAACTTTCTTTCAGACTTTGTTTTCCTTCCAATAAAAACAGGAACATTTCTTAAAACTTCATTAATCTACATTGTTTACTCTTATGACCGATCATGTTTCTTTCATTCACTTACTGGTCCATGGAATGGGGATGTTTTGTGAGTCTGGTCATTCTAAAAGAATCCAGCAAACCATCAGTCTGGTGTTATAAAAAGCTACTCTATTGTAGTGGTTGGATTCTTTTAAACCCAGCTTATATCCTTCTCAAGAAAGATATTCTTACAGAAGAGAAACTATGAAAGTTTTATTTAAAAGCATAACATATTTACTTTAACATAAATAAATGATTAATTTTCTAAGATGAGGATTAAAAAACAAAACAGACATACTTAAGATTCAAATCTGTTTTATTTTGTTAACTAAAATGATTTTTAAAAAAATAATAGATATGTTTAAAAAGTTATTGCTAGACTGGCAAAATCCCCTACTCCATTTACTGAGGTACTTAAAAAAATAACTGGCATGCTATATATCTTTTTTTTCCAGCTTTGTCTTGAATTGGCATTGCTGTCCTTGTTTTATCTCAACTGGCTGTAGCTTTTAGATAATACCATAAGGATTAACCAGTAACCTCTTACATCATTACTATTTTCTAGGGGAAAATATTTGGTATTTGGTTTTTCTTTTGCAGCAAATAAAACCTCAGGAGCACAAGGAAGTCGTCCTGGAAGTGTAATCCGTGTGTATGGTGATGAAAATAGTGATAAAGTAACTCCAGGGACGTTTATACCCTACTGTTCAATGGCACATGCACAGCTTTGCTTCCATGGGCACCGGGATGCTGTGAAATTCTTTGTGGCAGTCCCAGGTGAGTTAGATTATTCTGTTGAAAGTTGCATATAATTCTCTCTTTGTCCCTTGGTTCCATGACCTAAGTCCTGGAATAGCAGATAATTCCAATATAATATTTGAAAAGTTCCAGAATGGAGATGTGAATAAAATGCTATTGGGATACTTGCGTGAAGTTATTTTAAAATCTCTCCTCTATCCCCCAAAGCAAGCTTATTGATTTTTATTTAAGGAACATGATCTTACTTTTGAAAAGCAATGGTTTTATTTTGTCATAGCAGAATATCAAAAATTATCTTGGTTTAATAAAGGAGATTGCTGTTAAAGGAGCTGCTATATCAAAGCTGCCTGCGGAAAGAGATGGAGAATGGGCTCTGGCACCTTTATCAGTGTTACAGCAAAGAGCAGTAGAGCAGGAGTCAGGAGTCTGAGTCTTCTCCCTAATCACTCACAAATTGCTTAACCTCTGGATTCATTTCCTAAGTAGATGTCATTACTATGTGTTCTGCCACTTCAGTTGTTGTGAAAATTAACGAAAGTGCTTTGGGAACTATAAAGCACCACCCAGATGAAAGGGAGTAGTGGTGATGTCCAGCGAAAAGTGTTCTGTCTATTGAGAATACTAAAATGATGTTACTGACTCTCTTAGGCAGGACTCATGTTTTCAATTTTTTTTCCCCATGAGAGGCAATTTTAGGAGACAAAGGTCAAATCTGACTTTGTCATACCAACTACCTGTATGACATTGGACGTAGTAGTGTCTTAGTGATTAAGGTTCTTCAGAGAAGCAGAACCAATAAGATGTGTATAAGGGGGATAAAGAAATACTATTCATTTAACTATGATATTCTAATGTTTGAATAAATGTGATACATTTTATTCATTCTCTGTGGCAGAACCTCTAAGGTTTTTCTCCCCCTCCATCCCCTACCACCCACTTATTAAATAACAATACTGCAGCAAATCTTCTTGTGCTAGACTTTCTAGTTGTGTATATACCAAGGAGTGGAATTGGCAACATTTTGTGAGGCCAATTGGCCCTAAGGATTAAACCATTCAGGTTGGTCTTATGTCCCACTCGCCCTGGCTTCTGTGTTGGAACTGATTCTGCTATAGGGCTTGATTTCTTCCATAGTGTAGTTGAGTAAATCACAAATTAGAATATACTTTTTAACTTTCTGAAAATATTCAGAAGAAAATTAGTCTCCCTTACCCCAGTCTGTGATAAATAATAGGCACTTCTCTTTCTATATAAATAGGTCAAGTTGTTAGCCCACAAAGTGGCAGTAGTGGCACAGATCTAACAGGTGATAAAGCCGGGCCATCTGCACAGGAACCTTGCAACCAGACACCGTTGAAGTCTATGCTTGTCATCAGTGGAGGAGAGGGCTACATTGACTTCCGAATGGGTAAGTCATTTGCTCTGAGTGCAGTTTCCACTGTGTTTCGTGATTTAGATTTTCCTCCACTGTGAAAAGGATCTACTCTGTTAAGTGATTTCTAGGAAGTTCTCTTTGAATTCTTTACTTGGGAAAGGAGTTTCTTTTTTTAATTATTATTTTTTATTATATTTTTCTTTTTCATTTATTATTTTCTTTTGTGTTTTTTTTTTTATACCAAAATGTATTTTTTTGAAGGAGCATTAGGAGACAGCAGGGCTTGATTATACATTGAGACATAGGTGAAGAGCATAAGACACGGAGTAAGAAGGCCTTAAATCGTTCAACTTCCTGCAGCCTGTTTCCTCACTTGCAAAATGGAGAAATATACTCTTTAGGGTTTTCCCTTTTCCACTGTTTTTGTTTTACATTTTGAAAGGACAGGTTTATTAGGAAAATGAAAGAAGAGGATGCTTGCACAGACGCAAGCAGGCATGGAAAAAAAAACTTCTTCCACTGTTTTCAGTTGACATTATGAATGTTTTCTTTTGTTCAGCTGAAATTTAGGTGAGATATATTACAAAATTAGAGTAGAATTTTGTATTATATCAGTAGTATATCTTTGTCCCTTGATATATAAATTTGTAGGGCTCTGCTGAAGAATCCCTCCCACTAGACAAGTTGTCACTAGGTTGTGCCAGAGTAATTCTACTCTTCAATAACAAGAGCAGCTGATGTAAGCTTATAGAGGAGCGTGTGGGCCTTATAGCAGTGTCTTTAATCAGCATCTCATTATCATATTGACTCTGCTATTCCCAAAGAACCTCTTGACTATCTATTACCTCACCCTCATTTCTTCATATTCACCATGCATGGTTCATTCATAAACCATCCTAAACCTGAAAATCATGGCAACAAAAACCAATATATTAAGTGATGAATCTGTCATCACATTGTCCTGTGGGGAGACAATCTGAGTGTTCATGTGCTGGTATCAGCTATCTTCAGTTGGACAGTTTCACTCTCACTGACAAGAGGTATGAGTTGTTTGGGCTTATGTGATCTGTGTGCTTATTTATAGTGCTTTCCAGTCTTAGTTTTTTGCAGTAAACACGTAGACTGTCCATTTTGGACAGAATTGGATAGTTTTGCCTTCTTAGCTTCCTATTTCTACTAATTTCAGTATGTAGACATAATTGGGATGCATCGCCAATATAGTGGAATGAACTCTCTCCTATAAACATAGTCTTATAGAAAATACTGAAACCTGTTTAAGTAGTCCCCACCAAAATAACTTGCCTTCTTTGCCAGATAGACAGGTCATCTATTAAGTAGGACAGAGTACAAGCAGGTATTTCTTGATTCTATTGTATTTATACTTACATTCTTTCACTAGAGAAATAAAGGTTCACAATAAATTTCAGTGTGCGATGAAAAAAAAATAAACATAGTCTGATAAATGAAGTAGCCTTTTCAGAAGTCAAGCAATGAAGATTCTCACTCGTTGTGTTTCTTTTGCAGTGCTCAATGGCAGTCAGGCAAATTCTGTACATGCTGTTCGTAAACTATGAGCAGCATGTCAGATGTGCATCGTCCTACATATTCCATGCTCAGCCTAACTTACACCTTCTTATCATTCACTAGGTGATGAAGGTGGAGAATCAGAACTTGGAGAGGATCTTCCACTTGAACCTTCTGTCGCCAAAGCCGAAAGGAGTCACTTGATAGTGTGGCAAGTGATGTATGGCAATGAGTGAGCGCATAGGAAAAAGGCAGAGACAGAGAAGCTATCTCTTCTGCATGGTTTATTTTCCCTTTTCCCATTTATTTAATGCTCTCTTTGTGAAATAAGTTTCACCAGATAATGTGTGAGCATTTTATTTCCTGTTAACTTTATATTACAAAATCTGTCCTGCTGTAACAATACAGAACTAGCTGTTTTACTGCACCAGCGTTATAGGCAATTTCAGTATATTATGAACAAATCAAAGAATGTTTACTTTCTGCAAACTGGTGAATTATAGAAAGCAATCCAGATGTGGTTTATGCTGCCACAACTAATGTCACTCACTTTGTTTGACGGGGTCACTTTTTAGCTGTCACTAATAATGGAATTAATGGAAACACTTGATAAATGAAACTACTATTAAGTACAATAGTAAAGTTTTCCCAATGTATTATAAAATTGACACAAACTAATATCAGGTGGATTATCAGGATTTAGCTAAATGTCCGGACAGGGCTAAAAGCTAACTGTAAATTACTTTCACTTTCAAATCTGACAAATCTTGTTTATATGGTATATAAAACTTTGTTTTCTTCAGATTTGGGGGGGTTTTATATTAAAGAAATTAAGACTACACTATTTAAATAAAAATTTCCTGTTTCTGACTTATTAGAGCTCGCTCTAAAGTTTATGAGGCCTGCTTCTCTAAATATTCTGATTTTTTTTTTAAAGACTAGTCTCATTCATTTCCACACTGACATGTCTGAAAGATTTGTTATTTATGAAGGAGATATGCCTCAGCAATGGGAGGATTTTTTTCTACAGGAAATTGTGTTTTGGATTACTGTACCAGGAGATGGCGTTGGTTGGTCAACTTTTTCCCCTGTAAAAAAATTTACCTGTTTACCAACTGTTCTTGGACAGCTCTTACTGTTAGAGTAAAGCTGTAGTGGTGATGGAGTGGGGCCATCCCTGAATTAGGGATTTGATAAGAAATGATATTTACTCTTGATCTGTATAAAACTACAGAACAGCTAGCACTTGATATTTTGTATGTAAATGACATATTAAAGCTTTTGTGCACTTTTAAGATTAAAATGCCGTCTTCAAAGAGGAAACTTGAAAGGGGGAAAGGCAAAGCCAAAGGTACCACAAAAGTACAAGTTGACTTTACATCTTTGTACTCCCATTTGAGGAAAAAAAAGAGATTAGGGTCTAAGTTTAATTGATTTTCTTGTTTAATAAGTTTTTAAAAACCATTACACTGTAGCTGCCCCCCCCCAAACTTTTTAAAAATGTGTTATTTGCCATTTCCTACACATTACTTTAAGCAAAGCTAAATAAAATTTAAGTGCTGTTTTAAAAGTATAAATCTATTAGATAAGGCCCCGCAGTCATTAGAAGGACAACTTCAAAGAAAAGAAAGCAAAGACGTCTCACATCATCTCATCGTTCTTAAGTACCAGGTATTTGTTTTCTGAACTTCCTGCAAAAATATCTAAGGGCACACCATTGCCTGTTAAGCATTTTCATGACTAGGCTAGATTGTAAACCATGGGATTTACTGAGCTGGAGAGGCCTTTGGCCACATGTGTCTATAAGCACAGTAAAATTGTGGCTACTTTCAATGACTGGAAGAAAAAGATCTTTTGGTAAAAGTTGTATTAAAAAGATAATGTTTTGTTTTCAGTGACTTTTCTTCCAGGCATCAAAATTCAGGCCACTTTCCCATATTATATAAGTCATGATTTTATGTTAAATTGAAGTCGTTTGGCAATATCTTTTAAAGAATTATTAAACATTTTTGGGAATGTCATACAAATTCACATGAAAGAGACACCAAAGTGTTTGGGAGTTTTAGTCCCAAGCAGCCAGGTTTGTGTGACCGAATGTATTTTAGGAAATCGGTAATTAAAGATGAAAAATACAAACTTGTTACAATGGATATAATTGCTCTTTTAAACTTACTGGCTTTAACTTAAGGAATATAGGTGTCTAGTTTTTTTATCTAAAACAGGCTATGGCCCTGCTAATTAACTTCAGGGAATAGAGAGAATTAAAAAAAAAAAAAGCCTGTATAAGTTGTTTTAGGGGGCTTATCCTTTTATTTGTAATTTCAGTTAAATATTTCCTACAGATTGCTTTACTTCCCTCTTTCCCCCATAATAAATTTATATTCTTGTAAAATTCACTTTGGTCAAGTTGGTGACCTTTGAAAAAAATGTCAAAATATAAGCTTCTTCTATTGCAAAGTGGTATAGTTGCCTGTAGCTACCAGGTCAAGGACAGAGAAGAGGCTTGAGTAACTTGGGTTGGATTTTCTGTGTTTTAACAAAAAAAAAAAAAGAGGACTGTCTATTGGAAGAACTAGGGGATGCTGGAGAATTTCTCATTTGTTACTCTGGGGTTATGTGTGAGGTTGAACCGTGTGAAATTGCTGATGTTCAACCAGTGCTGGTCTGCAAGAACAGCAGTATCAACTCAATACTATTAAGTGTAGGTTACAATCCCTGTGAAGCAAAGAGAGAATATTCTCTAGGAACTCAGTTTTGAGAGTGTATTTCTCTTACTCATGTGGATCTAATTTTTTAAATAGGAATGACTATCTTAATGAGCAGCAGCTTGTGAAGAGTGTAAAACATTTTGAGCACAAAATATGCAGCACATAACTTTTCAGATTGTGTTTGCATGGAAAAGGGTAAAATACATTCTCTCAGTTGCTGTATTGTTCATTTCTTATAAAGATCTTCCTACATCTGAGAACAGACCCTCTAACATAGGCTGCCTTAGTAACAAGACAAAACAAATATATTAACTGTCCTAAAGAAAGTGTGTCTTGCAAATGCTGTGGAACTGAGTATTTATTTCCTCGTGAGTATTATGATCTTTACCAAAGGACTCAACTAGATATAGGGCTCTTCTGAATTGATCATGGTGAGAAAGGGATTCATTTGGTCCCAGTTTGTAACATGGAAAGAGTAGAGAAGAAGAGAATTCAATGTGGAATCACAGATGCTTTTCTAACAGGACTCCGCTGTTTTGTAACACTGTCTTTTTCTTTCTCTTCAAAAATTAAGTTTTTATTAATTTTGTCTTACATTTCTCAATATTTGAATATATTTTAACCATTTTATGTTCTAAATTTGTTTTTGTCCTGACATTTTATCTCCAGAATTTTTCTTGCCTCTATAATCTGAAAAATGGGTTCTAGAATGTCCCACTTGCTATCTTAGAGGCTGAGGCTTCATTTCTAAGAGCAAAAAATGCTCATTTAGCAATGTAGTTATTTCAGTATTTATTTCTATTATGGAATCCCTGGGGTTCGGAATGTAACTTTGTACATGAAATATATATATAAATATGTATATGAAACATGTGTGAGGTTCAGTGTGTTTTGTTTTTGCCATTCCTAGAGGTCTGAAATTGGTTTTTATTTGAAAATCCAATAATCAAACTTCATTTCCGAGGGTGAGGACCATTGCTCTCTTCACTGGCTGAAGGCGAGCAGTGGAGAATGTTCAGGAACGTGCCTTTTTAGCTCACGTGTTCAAACAAGATATGAGTAATAGACAGTAGAGCTTTCTAGAAATGTGGGAGTGATGAGTAACAGCCCACACGTGATACTAAGGCATACCATTTGCCAAATTACTCAGTCATAAGAGGCAGGCTGTAGTGAGATGTTAATAACATGGTATGCTCAGTTGTTATCCATTTGCTTGGGAGAGACTCTGGAAGGAGGGATGATTATAAAACTAATCATGTGGTAGCACAATGTGAATCCCATGTTCACTGTAGTGGCATGCTTTGTATATAGGAAATGTGGGATTCTGACATGGACTGAATTTTCGGCAGCAGCCTTTTTGTTGAGGAAGGTTTTGTAGTTAGGGGACATCTCAGAATGCCTTAAACATCAGGTGATGAATACAGTTTGTAGCTTGTTCTCCTTTGTAACATAGTAGTATAATGGGAAAGAAGACTGTAGACCTGTCGACTCTGCCCCTGTAGTGACCTTAGGCAAATCAGTTTAACATAGCACCCCAGAATCAGCCACAAAGCTATAAAACTCCACTCCAGACCTACTGAGCTGGACTCCTGTGGGATCTGGGCCAAGAATGTGTAAAGTGTCAAAACTGAGTATGGTGTGTCGTTTTCACAGAGAAATGCAGCTTTAATATATTTGGACCTTGGTGCTCTCGTGTTAAAGGTGGGTGATTTATCGGGGTGATACAAAAATATCCTGGCTCTAACCTTTGCTGGTTCTATGGCCCTGGACTAATTTGCCCCAGTTTGTTGTCAGTGGATACCAACCACACCTGTTTGCAGGTCGGGGCTGCCCAATCTCCCATGAGACCCAGAGATAGCTGGTGGGTGAGATTTGATTACTTAGAATGTCCAGTTTGTTAGAATAACGCTATACAAAAGGAGCTGTATAGTTTAGTGCCTTGCTTTTTTATGTCCAAGTAGGACATTGGCTCCCACCTGCAGACTAAATAGTTTGTGATTTGAGGACTCAAAGAAGTTGACCAACAGGCACCCAGCTGGGGAGGGGGCAGGGTTGAAGGGGGGCAGCTTCCTGTAAAAAGCCACAGTTCTCAACCAGGCCAGGAGAGAATCCCTGGAAGCTATTCCAGAATAAAATTGGTTTCTTCTTCCTCACCTCAGAAGTTTCAGACTCTACCAGTGCATTTGGAAAAACAATTACCCAGGTAATTCTGCTCCTTCCACTGTGAACAGCTGCTCAAGAGGAACTTGAGAGCAACCCAGGAGGATTCACATGTGTTCTAGCAGCACAAACTTCATTCTTAGCCAATTATTACCAGCATATGGTGACCCATCAGCAGGCTCACCCAGGATCAACCCAGTACTCTTTCCTCTTTGATTCATGGGTAATTGAAGTTTAGGGTACTTTGAACTTATTGCTACATTAAAAACTTAAAGGAGACACTCATTTCCCATTCACTTGGTAAGCTTTTTTTTTCACACACAAAAAAACCCAGAACCCTTTAGGTGTTGTCCTGACTTGCTTGCATATGCATATATTCTAATCCTTTCCTCACAGTATGTATACATTCAAAGATGATCAGCAGAGCAACCCTTTGGGCAATGTATTACCGTCCTCAGGTGATCCAGAGGCCTGGCCATCGCAGGGACCTTGTCTGTGGTGGACATATCCGTCTGGGATATGTAAAGCCGCAAGTTTCTCACTCAGGGCTTGTTCGGGGAGAGGTTTAGCCAGATTAACCCCACACTGGGGGCGACTGCGGGGGGAGAGAGCTAGATCTCCAGTCAGAAGACTTAGTTTAAATCCTGAGTCTACTGTTTGCTGATTTTGTGACCCTTCCCTAGTCACTTAACATTCTGTTTCCTTGCTATAAAAAGACAGTAACTCCCTCCCCACAAGGGTGCTTGTGACAACTAGGTGACGTAATAACCCACGTGATGGTGCAGAACATCACCTGCCCCTGCTAGTCACTCAGCAGCAGACTTTGGAGGTTCCTCAGTATCAGGTACATAAAGATGAGTAACACCTTCAAGAAGAATAGGATGAGAGGGAAGTAGACACAAATGACGAGTGGTCAGGTATTGTGGCCGTATGTCAGCAGTAGTTGAAAAAATGATATTGGCATGGTGTCTATTTTGGCAGTGTTGTGATGTGATAAAAATAGGAGAAAAACTCTTCAATACTTATTTAATGCAGCAACATCCTCGTTGATCTGTCAGTGTTCTAGACCTTGTGTGTCTGAAATTAACAGTGTTGGGAAGCACAAGTATCTTAGGCCCTCAGACCTTTCTCTGGTGCCCCGCCCTCCCCAATTTTCAGGAATAGGAGTGTTCCATGAAAATTAAAACACAGGAGAGCCATATTCTCCTTTGCATCTAGGAGTTAATTTCATTCACATTCAGACACTGCAGGGCATTGCTGCATGTAAGTGTAGCAGTAACATGTTAAGACATGTTAAGATTTTGGCAGGAGCTCTCAGGTGCAGATACCCAAAAAGAGTAGTCTTTCAAAGACTTGATTCCTCCCCAGGAGTATTGTAATGATGCTATTTTATTGACAGGATTGTTGGAGAGGTGAAAAGAAATAATAAATAGCACTCAACAGTTAACAAATACTAACTTCCTGCACTGAGGTTTCGATTTCTTTTCCCAGCCTCCTTTTCCTTTGGCTAGCCCAGGCAAGTAACAAATCCAGGAGTGGAGTTTTAGCTATTTGCCTTCTGCTACATTTTGGCCTGTTGCACTTCTCAGAAATGCTTCTCCCAAAGGCTTTTATTTTGTAGGCCATTTACTTTTCTGTCTTGCTGAGTTTAACTGAGACTCTAAACAAGAAACTAGGAACAAAAATTTGACATGTTCTGCACTAGAAAAGACACCAATATTGAGTCTTAAGGGATACCAGAGCCGCTGTCAGGACAGAGGGTCATGTCCCAGAGGCCGCCTGGAGAGGAAGAGAAACCTGGCTGGCACCTCTAGATGAGTCTGGCCAGAGTTAGAGACCCAGGCCTGGGCGTCACCCAGTTGGCGGTTTATCAGACACACTGCCTCCTATTAAGGTCATGTTTCTGGAGTCCCTCCATGATACCCCTTTTCTTCCAAAACCCCTTTCCTGTGATACGATGTGAGCCAGAAGTCGGTGTCTCAAAAGCCAACTTAAGGCGCAGGCTCTTGCCCCCCTTTGCCACCCATCCATGAGAAGTTATCTCCTCGCACTCTGAGGTTTCGATTTGGGGATTATCCAAACTTTATTGATCAGTTTTCCTTACCTGTAAAAGCAGGGCTTGGCTGTACTGAGTTCTAAGCCCACTTCTAGGGCGACATTCTTTGAGGGTGAGTCATCTGTGCCATGTGCACTTTGGGTTGTGTGGATTCGTACCTTCATGCCCAGCCAGATCCTCTGTGGATGGGATTCATGAAGGCGGTACACTCGTGAAGGCCAGCTTGTCCCTGAGGCCTCGGGGCATCATGTGCATAACTAAGATACTGCTGAGTCACTGTGTGCTGCTCGTATTTTGGGTGTTCATCTTTTCCTTCCTGATCCAGGGAAGAAATCTCCAAAGTCTTCAGGATGGCAGCTGAGCCTACAGAGAGCTGCCCCCTAAGGCCCCTGTGTCTTCACTTGGGGGAGAAGGGAAGCTTTGAGAGGGATGCTTAATTAGGGAGAACCCTTGCCTTCCCCGTACCATCCAAAACTATCCCCTCCTAGAGCTGAAAAGGAGAAGGGGTGAGGAGTGGGAAATGAACTTGTTTCAGAAGCTGTCTTGCTAGAGACTGGGCTCAGCTCCCTTTTGGACACAAGGTGGCGCCAAGTTGGCATTTGCCTTCCTCTTGTCAGCAATCAAGACTGCCAGCCCCTCATCCCTCCCCTTCACCCTCACTAGGCTGTCCACCCAGTAAGGCAGGCCAAACCAGAGGAAGGAGGGTGCCTATTAGGGATCAAGGTGTAGCGACAAGGTAAACTAGTTCACTTCGGTGACCAGCTGAGGCCTGGAGGGGGATGGCTGTTACCTGACAGCAGAGACCTGACTAGAAGTCTTGACTCAGTGCAGAGCTCCTCTTCCTAGGCTGCCGCTGGGTTCTCACAGGCTGGAGTTCCCCTCACTCCTTTCTTTCATTCACAGGGGGCAGCTTCCCTACCAAGGCAGCCACAAAGCTCAGGCCCCCAAAGGGAAGGCAGGTGGTCCAGAGCTTGAAATTGTCACTGAGCAGGGTTGATACAAACATTGGCTGAAGGGATTAAATGAGGGAATTTTTGAAAGCATCTACACTACCAACTTCTGGTCTTTGAAGTTGCAGAGGAATTTCTGCGGCTGCTACCTCCGAACAAGGCTGAAGGAAATGTCACAAAATCAGCTTAGTTGAGTGACTTCAATAGAAACCTTATCCAAGGCTGATAATAAATAGGGGTTACGTAACTCAGCAGGTCACAGCACTAACTAAGCCCTTTATAGGCCATCCATCCACATTGATTTCCTGGATTTTATAACTGCTGCTGAAAAGGAAAAAGGAGGAGGTGAGGATTAGAGGGAGAGAATCTGTGTGACTGGAATAAATCCCCAAGTCCGCTCTCAGGCGCCTCTCCCCGCGGTGCCACTGCAGGACTCTTGGGGGTTGCTGCCTTACAGCGTGCCTGACACTGTCGCCCCCTGCCAGGACACTCAGACCCTGGCCCCAGCTGTTCTGAATAGCCATAAGCTTTAAGCTGGTTATTTTCTCTCCGGCCTTCATCTAAAATGATAAAGTTGGGCCAGATGAACCCATTCCACCCCGTGATTCTAAATGTCAGGATCAAAAACAAATAGTAGCAAAAGAATGGAGATTAGGGCCCCCACCCCTATCCCAATAGATGCAAGAAGCTGTTGGATCCTCTAGGTGGAGGAAAGGAGA